TCATAATCCTTCTATTTATATAGTTTATTCATAGGTCACTCACCTACATACCCTCCGGAAGTCGAGGACCTTGATAGACGCGTCGAGCATGTACCACCCAATTCAAAAGGGAAAACAACGCCATGCAACCAATCACAGCGACGGTATAATCTACACTCTTATTAGCATGAGACAACACCAGCAAAAGAAGGAGGGGGTAATACTCATAGAACTCCCCGTCACAGGGACCTCCGTCGGGAAACAATAAAACACCAACGTGATGACCGCAAACCCCACAGTCAGGGCATTAGCAATCCACCCCATAAACCCCAGCCTGACGCGCCTTTTCTTCGTGAGATATTTCGTCGACCGCCGATGATAGAGCAACAACGCTGCGGGGACAGCGAAGGAAATCTGCTGGAGGAGGAGCCCCGTTCCGACAAACCCGTGGAAGGCAGTGTCCGAGCCGAGGTAGATACACCCGATGATGAATATCACGGCGGAGTTGGCGACGAGGGCCCAAACAGGCACGTTGTGGCGCGGGTGGAGCTGGCCTATGTAGGATGATCCGATGAGGGCGTTGTCGCGCGCGTAGGACCAGGTGAGACGCGAGGCTGTCTGGACGCAGCCGTTTAGGGCGAAGAGGGAGACTGCGAGGAGGCCGGCTAGGAAGACTGTTGCGGCGGTGGAGGATCTTGTTGCTTGGTTCCATATTTCGTAGATGGGGACGCTGTTACCCTTATTAGTATCTTGTCTGGCTGTCGGGAGAAAGAGACGTACCCGGTAGGAGTGTTGATTATTGCGTCTAGGTCGACTAAGGAGTATACCATTGAGATGGAAAAAGCGAAGGCCGTGACGAAGCCGATGAGGCTTGTGCTGATGAGAGCCAGCGGCACGGTGGTGACTGCATTCGAACATTCTTCTGCTAGGTGGATCGCCCCGTCGATACCTGCATACATGAAGTTGGGGTTGGCCAGTCCTGTCAGGAAGACAATTCCATCGGAGCTCCACCCGGAGTCGTTGACGAAGTTGGTCCAGACAAACGTGCTGGAGTTGTGACCTGGTGCTCTCGCCGCACAGGTGATGGTGATGATAATGAACAGACTGATGGAGACGACAACTGTGATATATAAGATTAGCGCGCTACGTATGGGTGAGGTAGATAGACATACACCCAACGTCATGGATCCAGGACGTCCGCTTCATCAGAAAGATGTTATATAGCAAGATGAGAATGTTCACCGCTTGATAGATGAGAAAGATATGCCAGGCTTGTGGCTCGAAGTCTGGATTGAAGAACACGACCATGGCTGAGATGAATTGTCCTGGTTGAATGACGACCCCGGTGCATATGGAGAGCCATCCGAATATGTTGGCGGCGCCGCAAAAATAGCTCTATGATGATTTAACAAGCTGACCGCGCACAACGAATGCGAGTAGACTCACCAGCGCCCGATTGGTACTCTTCGGCGCCAAGATGGATGTCCAATGGTACTGGCCACCAGCAGTCGGGTAAACGCTGGTCAACTCCGCCAGCGTGGCGGTCGAACCGAGGCCGATCAGAACAAAGATCAATATCTGGCCATACAGCAATGTCACTGTGCCTCCTTGAGCAATTCCGACAGCCAGGGTGGCAGCCAGGCCCGCCCAGCTGTTGCAGATATTAAAGCCCGTACATAATATGCCGAAGCCTCCTAGGTTCTTTTCCGCATAGGAGCCGAGGTCGAGGTCTGTAGCATCTATGGCTTGCTTTTCTTGGACTATCAGGCAGTTAGTTTATGGTCTTTATTAGCATAGAGGCAAGAATAAGTCTAGCTATACCTTTCTCTGATAACGATTCAACCGGAGAGGTATTATCCTCGGGTTTCTTGGTGAATGGACGGCGCATGGTGATCTGAGGGGGGAGACAGAAAATGAGCCAGACAAGAGAATATGGGCAACATCGTGACCCTGTATGATATTTAAGAGAATCCACAGTCAATCCAACTATTCTGCGGGGTTATTTAGTTCGTTACTCCAATGTTGGGGTCTAGCAGGCCAAGTATAAGCTATCTGGATAGACCTACTCTATATGGTTGCGGCTAGTCTGGATTGGGCGGGCTAATTGAGCGATTTGATAACGTTGAAAGCTTGGCCAAAAGAAGAATAGAATATATGAATATCTATTCCTGTAACTCTTCTTGATCCTTTACGATGGTGGAGAGATAAGTCACTGTCCAGAATCGACCGTAGAGGGGATAGCGCATCTATAGAAAGAGTACATATAAAGACTGGTCATGAACCACGGATCTTCTACAGCTCTATCTCTAACAGACTACATCTTCTTTTTCTTTTTTTTTCTTTTTTGTAATCATAACAAGTTCAGCTCTAAAAACATCTCGATCTCGTCTCCCCGTGACTGTCCAAACCCTACCGGACAGTCACAGACTTGAGAGACTTGGCATTGAAGCAATCCAGGACAACATTTGGGTAGGCTGTCACGATATACAACTTGCATTTGTGACATCAGCATAGATACAAATATAGATATGGGTATATGAGTATATATGCAGGTAAATAAAGGCACTTGATGCCTAGAAAACCAGAAGCGGGATATTTCCGCCTCAGGATGTGACAAATGCGTCTGTCTGATTGGCTGGCTGGCTGCATCACGACGACGTCATTGTTATCTGGATTCAACAGGAATGATACTACAGTAGTACTACAAAGTAGGGGATAACCATTCTTAATCGGTCAATGCCTGGATTTAATAGAACTCTTACGTACAGCACTACTAATCCTCACTATTAAGATTTGAAAGGACTCCAAAGCTCTAGCAACACAGCAAGGCAGTTAACTGGATGCAATCCCTCTCCCGAACGCTCCGTGTCCGGCCATTGCCAACATCCCGGTCACTGACCTCGTCATATTCCTATTCCTCCGTCCGTCTTCCCCGCTGTCGCTGCGGATGTCGCAATTCTAGTGTTTGCTCGTGCAGCTGCTGTGTGCATCCAACCGTTGTCTCCCAATCGTTACCCCTCCGCATATCACCCCGCTCTTCCCGTCTTTCATCATATAAACATCCTCTGCGATCATCCACCGGGTCTCTGTATCGACACTTTACTTCATCATCGACTAAAATGGCGCAGGAGTATAAGCTTAAGGATATCTCGTCCCTTGCGGACATCAAGAATAATGACAAGGTCGAGTCCGAGGTCGAAGGCATCCAGGATGGAAAGGTCCTGGTGGTCAAATTCAACAACAAAGCCTATGCCATGGGTCCGAAGTGCACCCATTATGGCGCACCGCTGAAGCTGGGTGTTGTTGCGCCCGATGGGCGTATCACCTGTCCTTGGCATGGAGGTAAGAAATACATTCTCTTCTGACAAACAGTCCCAGCTGACCCGATTCCTCCAGCCTGCTTCAATGTCGGGACCGGTGACGTGGAAGACGCTCCCGCTCCCAACTCTCTCAGCACATACGAGATACTGGAGAAAAACGGCGCAGTCTACATCAAAGGCGAAGAAGCCATGATCAAAAGCGGCCAGCGAGACCCCACCCTCAAGTGCAGCGCCTCGTCGCAAGAGAAGGTCGTCATTGTCGGAGGCGGCAGCGGCGCCCTAGGCGTGCTCCAGTCCATCCGCCAGCTCAAATACACCGGCTCCCTGACCATGATCACCCGCGAGCCGAACCTCATCATCGACAGAACAAAACTGTCCAAGGCGCTGATCCCCGACGCCGAGAAAATCCAGTGGCGCCCTCGCCAGTGGTACCAAGAAGCCTCCATCGACACCGTCTCCGACGACGTCACCTCTGTCGACTTCAACTCCAAGACCGTCACCACGGCCTCAGGCAAATCAATCCCCTACACCAAGCTCGTCCTCGCAACCGGCGGCGTCCCCCGCACGCTCCCCCTCGAAGGCTTCAAAGGCGACCTCGCCAACATCTTCCTCCTCCGCACCATCCCCGACGTCCAGTCCATCCTCGCCGCCGTCGGCGACAGAAACAAGAAGATCGTCATAATCGGCAGCTCCTTCATCGGCATGGAAGTCGGCAACGCCCTTGCCAGCAACAACGACGTCACCATCGTCGGGCAGGAAAAGGCCCCCATGGAGCGCGTCATGGGCGAACAAGTCGGCCGCATCTTCCAGCGCAACCTCGAAAAAGCAGGCGTCAAATTCCACCTCCAAGCAGGCGTCGCCCGCGCCACGCCCTCCGCCTCGGACTCCTCCACCGTCGGCGCCGTCCACCTCTCGAACGGCACCGTCCTCCCCGCCGACCTCGTCATCCTCGGCGTCGGCGTCCGCCCCGCTACAGACTTCCTCCAATCCAACACCCACCCAGCCATCAATCTCGAGAAAGACGGCTCCCTCAAAACAAATGAACATTTCGCCGTCCCGGGCCTCAACAACGACGTCTTCGCCATAGGCGACATCGCCACCTTCCCCTACCAAGGACCCGGCACGGATCCCAAAACAGGAACCCCCACGCGCATCGAGCACTGGAACGTCGCGCAGAACGCCGGCCGCGCTGTCGCCCGCGCCATCATCCACTCGCTTTCCTCCTCCTCGCTAGACAATCTCAAGCCCAAATCCTTCATCCCGATCTTCTGGTCTGCGGTCGGCGCCCAGCTCCGCTATTGCGGCAATACGCCGAATGGGTGGGATGGACTTGTCCTGCGGGGCGAGCCTGATAATGCGAAGTTTGTCGCGTATTACTGCAAGGGTGATACGGTCGTTGCCGTTGCTACTATGGGGATGGACCCGATTATGGCCAAGTGTGCGGAGTTGATGAGGAGGGGGGGAATGCCGACTAAGGAGGAGATTGAAGGGGGTGTGGATGTACTTGATGTTGAGCTCAAGTAAGTGGTTGGTGTAGTGAGGTGATGTTTTGATGCGTAATGCTTTGGATCGTTCGTCTTTGATCGTCTATGATATGGAATATAGTAGTAATGGATATTTTTGATTCTCCCCAGATAACGCCAATCGTGAGGAATGAATATATAACACGGAATGAAAAGCTTAGATACTATAACAACGAAAGAAAGAAAGAAAAGCTAGCAACATGAACCAGAGGCAATATCAAGAAGATCACCTCTCCTTATCCTTCTTCTTCGACTTGGACTTCTTCTCCTTCACAGGCTTGGCCTCTTTGCTGGGGCTCTCCTCCGGCGGGGGGTTAAAGTCCACGGCGGTGATAGCGCCAGTCATGGATGGCGTGGCTGCTCGGCTGGGGGTCATGCTCGACGTCGTGGAGAGGATACCGTTGCGCTCGTCTTCCAGCACCTTGGCCTCCTCCTCCGGGGTCAGCATCGTGCCCTCGATGCTCATGAATCCGTGGTCCCGCTCGCTGCCAGGGATGATGTCGATGTCGACGACGCGGAACCGCACGGTGCCACGCACGCGGTGGCCAGACACGGACTGGAAGTAGCCCTCTGCGGCGGCGTCGTCGTCCGCGCCGGCGCCGGCAGCGTCCCCATTCTCCTCTGTCATCATTTCGTCGGCGAGCGGGTTCGAGTCCGACGCGAGAGTCACCGGGTTGAAGTGCTCCTTTTCGGCGTCGAACGCAGCGGACGGTTCCGAGTCTTCGTCTTCCGAGGTTGTGGCGGCAGCTGGTTTATCCTTCTGCGGCTCTGCGGTGCCGGTGCTCTCTTCTCCTTCTTCGTATTCCTCGCCGGGAGGAACCCACTTCCAGTTCGAGGGGAGCCGTTTCCGCTCGATGCCCACGGAGAAGAGGTTCAGGACGACTGCGCCGAGGAACCCCTCTGACTGCACGTTCACCCATCCTTCGAGGATCTGGCCGCGCTGGGGCCGGAACACCAAGAACGTGGCCGTCAGATACACGTAGAGCACGCCGTACTCGCCCGCCGTGGTGGCGAGCGTCAGCGGCTGCGGGCTGGGGTCGGCGGGTTCAGAGGGCGTCGAAGAGGAGGGCGGGGAGCTCGAGATCGAGGTGTTCGAGTAGGCCAGCACGATACCCTGCAGCGGGGCGTAATACGTCAGGAGGAGCGGCGAGAGGTGCTCTGCGCACAGCGACGCCAGAGCGTGCGTGGGCGAGATCGAGATGGGCGAGAGGGGCAGGTACATGGTCGCTGTCGTGAGGACGTAGGGGGAGGTGGCGCTCGGCGCGGCGGCAGACGCTGCAACGCCATGCTTCTTGCTGCTGCTGCTGCTGCTCTTTTCCTTGCTCTTGGACTTTTTGCTGCTCTTCTTGTCGGCCTTGGCACTGCTCTCGTCGGCGACCAGGCTCGACTCGTGTTTCCGCTTTTTCTTCGACGTAGACGGGTCGTCTCTGTTCTTGTGCTTGCGCTTGCGCTCCTTTTCAAGATTTACCTCCCGGTGGGTGTCGATGTCCATTGTGTCTGTGGCCATTGTGTATTTGGATCTGGCGCAATTGGTGCGCCCCGTGGAGCTGTTGCTGTTGAGACTCAGAATGTGAAATGCGGTGGATTTGCGGATGCCGGACTTTTTTTTTTTTTTTTTTTACTTCGCATATCGCGGGTGGAAAGGGAAGGCGGTATGAAGGGCGGTGAATGAGAGGACAGCAACACCAGTCGCTATCATTGTTGATTGTTCCTTCGCCCCTCACCACATGAATATCCTTTATCTCAGACAGTTTAGAAGGAGTTGTGGTGATTGTTGAAGTGATACTGCGCTAGACTTGCGCCATGTCGTATCTTCTCTCCTTTGTTGGATGGGCGGTCCTCCCGAACGTGAGTATCTAGATTCAGGTGGAGCCTCCCGGCGGCACCACGTTCTCCAATGCAATGATTGATTGAATGCAATGACTGATGGCGATAGAGATGTAGTACGCGACCTCCTTCCTACAGAGTGTCTACTATGGCATCACCATCCGTGCGGGTGAGCCCCGGCCTCAACCCGGCACCGCCCGCTACGACCGTCATCGCCGGCGCATCTTCATCCTCGTCGTGACCAGCTACCTCCTCTACACGCTCTACGAAGCATTCCACCAAGTCCAGACCGCAGGGGACTTCTACCAGGCCCTCGGGGTATCGCCGCTGGCCGACGACCGGACCATCAAGTCGCGATTCCGCCGGCTCGCCGCCCAGCATCACCCGGACAAGGTCTCGCAGGGCACATCCGACAACTACTTCGTCTATCTGAAGCTGGCGCAGGAGACCCTGCTGGACCCTGCGAAGCGGTATGGATACGATCGGTTTGGGCCCGATATCCTCCAGTGGAGGGACCCGAAGAACATGCAGGGATATCTGTTTGCGGGGCTGCGGCAGAGCGTCCCGCAGTACGTGGGCGGCCTCGTTACTCTGATCGCGCTGAACTTCATCTGGTGGTCGGGCTGGGGTCGTTACGTGAGTGCTCCCACCAGCGTTCCCGTCTTGAGTCTCATTGCTAACATACTGATATCTATCCAGTGGCGTTTCTTCACCTTTGCCGCACTGATCACCCTCGAGCTGGCCCTGATCACCCACCCGGGGGCACTGTTCATCCCGTGGTCCTACATCCCGTCGGGGGTACGCAATCTGCTCGGGATCTCGACCCAGACGCCAACGTTCTACCTGCTACCGTTCCAGATCGTGACGCTTGCCCAGCGGGCGTCCGTCACGATGCATATCTTCATCTCGCAGCTGTCGCCTCCCAAGCGAAACGAGGCCTCGTCGTCCGGGTCAGGCGACCGTCTGTATCCGCAGACCGTCCAGCGCCTAGGCCAGCTGTTGCAGACGTCTCGGGCGGTGGATGTCGAGGCGACGCGGTTATTGCAGATGGGGGTGTTCCCGTTCCGTGGGGACCGCGAGGCCGTTGGATCGCTGCGGAAGGGGATGCGCGAGGGGTTGGTGTTGAGTGGTGTGCGGAATAGTCCTGGGGTGCAGGCGGCCGTTGGGGAAGTATTGGAGCGGCAGAGGCGGGAGAAGAAGGGCGATTAGGGGGGGGGATCCTAGGAGTGGGTGATAGATATGTAAATATTGGTCTAGTGATTGACATAGTGTATTATTTCATCCATGTTGAGTTAAATTTACATCATAATGGACAGAGTTGATATTGATTGTGGTCTATACAATACAATAAGTTGCCAGTTGATCCACGCACACGGGGGATAGTGGCATTGGCATTTCAAATTTTTAACTTCCGAGAATTCCCACCGCATGTGCATCTTTTCATTACGCAGTGATTTTTCTAAATTCCCACCCATTCTTTCCGCGTCGGGAAATATTCTCAAACCGGATGTGGCGAGCCGATCGGGATAGAATCCTTGGTTCGTACTGTATCTCGTGTTCTTTACTGGGGTTAGGAAGTGATGGGGGGATTACAGGGAAGGGAAAAGAAAGTCAGAGAGGATGATCAACAGATCGTGTGAGGAAGAATCATCTTCCCCAGTAGTAGGTAGAAGACAGATGATCATATTCCCAGCTGATCGCATCATCCTGAGGTGGTATCAAAGGTCGTGGTCGTGATGATGTGAGTAGTGGAGGATGTGTATGGTTGTATGATGGTGTACCAGGTATGATCATCTTACGGGCGCAGACTGATGAGATCAATACTACGGAGTAGGAACTCACTCATGCTGGACTACGGAGGCCAAGGGTTTATGTTCTGGACATCCACCAGAATACACGATATCTACAGGTTTTCTCTTCCTGATAGTATTCATCATATCCAATTGATCATATGACTGAGATAGGGAGAGTTGGGAATAACTTCATCGATACGATCGTGTACTCTTGAAACCGCAATGGTATCGTACTGTACGGTAAGTTCTAACGATGACGTCCCCAGCGCGTACCGCGTAAAAAGGACGAAAGGGGCACTAATTACTTTACCCAGGTAAATACGATACCGATCCCAAAAATTGGCACATCCATCTCTCTCCTGGACTACTCACTATAGACGAGAAGAGAACACACACCCACACTCACGCCAACAATGAAACCAATCTTTGCATCCCTTTCTAAACCATCCTTTTCCCTTCCCCCTCTTACTTCCCCCCGTCCGTTCCTTTTTTCTCTTCTCTCTCTTTTCTTTCTTCCCTCCTCCCTCTCTTCCCATCACCACTCCTCCACCATCAGTCTCTCCCTATCTTCAGACTATGTCACCTCGCTTGCTCTACTCCTGTCTCCATCAGCTCCGTCAGACTTTTGCCTCGCCCTGAGTAAGGTCCTGCCGCGCCACTCTACACCGTCTTGGCCCCCGGTTCTTCCAAAGCCTCCGACGTGACCGACACACCACGCTCTCACGATCGTCTTTTTAAAATCACCAAATCACTACTCTCCGACTGCGGTTTAACACTGCCTCGGTGCGCCTGACCACCGACTAGTCTACCACCAACCACCCCTGGGAAATCAATTTATTCTTTTTTTTTCCCCCCCTTCCCTCCTCACTTGAATCTACATCCTTCCTCCCTCTTTTCTCTCCAATTACCATCAACAATGCCGGCCTCCAGCTCTGCCACCCCGTCGTCCTCGAATGGCCGCCGCCCCAGCCGGTCTGGGGGCTCCGCCAAAGGCACGGTCATCCTGAAGCTGTCGCCCGACCTATTGAGCCGGTTCGCTCCTCCTCCGGCCGAACCCAAGGACAAAAAGGGAAGCAAGAGCAGCGAGGCCCGTCCGGAGTCTCCTGTCAAGGAACAGCCGTCGTCTCCGGCGTCCTCCGCGGCCGAGATGCCCCTGCCACCGTCTTCCGTCGACAATGCCTCCGACGCCGCGTCGACGCCCGCCGCGGGCACGTCCAACCCCGACACACCGCGCCGCAAGGGCATGCCGGGCCCCAAACCGGGCAGCAAGAGAGGCCCCGGTACTCCGAGCGAGACGTATCCCCGGCCGCGCGGCAAACCCGGCCCTAAGAAGAAGCCTCGAATGTATGTTCATTATCTAATAGAGTTGGTGTCATATCCCGTGGAAAACATGCTAATAATGGATCACAGGGACGACGGAACATTCGACGCCGGCAAGCTCGTGGCGGCGCATAAGCTAGGCCCCAAGGCCAACACGGGTGCCATCAATGCCGGCCTCCGTGCGTTGGATCGGTCGGGAGCGCCCTGCCGCCGGTGGGAGCGCAAACCTCTCCAGCTGAAGAGCTTCACAGGCGTGCAGTGGGGTCTCTCCTCCTGGCGCACTCCTCGGCCTCAACCCCAGGAAAACGGCGAGTCGAAGGAGGGGGTGCTGGAGACTGGGGACAGTGACAGCAAGGCCAATCAGAGTGCCAGTGGAGTCCCCAGTGAGAAGAGCAACTCTGGCGACGGAGATCTCACGCCGGTGCCTCCTAATATTGCTGAGCCGTCGTCACCCGCTATTGCCATGACTGCCTAGTGGCTTGAGCCACCTTTATTGTCTTCTTGTATATTATTGTGTTACTACTTCTATTTCCCTTGGTTTTTGGGCGTTGATCTGGTTGATCTGGTTGATCTGGTTTGTTGTATTGGATGCTGCTGGTTCGGCGTTTGGGGTGGTTCTATGGTTGATGGGTTGACTGGGATTGCTGACATGGCTCTGGAATGGTTACTCTTTCATGGAATTCCAGGTGTCTTATAATTTTGGTGGTGTTTGCATCTTTGCCAGTTATCATGTACTATTAAAAGAGCCTTGATCTATACTATTCCGACCTTTCACATAACAACAATTCCTGTTCTATTACTACAATTGCACTGCCCCAGACAAAAGATGATATATGGGAAAGATATCAAGTCATCTGACCAAACCTCATCCAGCCATGATTGGAATAATTGCAGAACAGGTAAACAGAACGAATCCTGACTGATGACTGTCATGAATAGTGGAATAGTATATTCTCCCTCAAATTCAGAAGGAGAGAAAGAAAGGACAGAAAAGGAGAAGATAGGTGAGGGGAAAGAGAAGAAGATCAGCTGCCCCAGTTAGACATACAGTATTGGCCCGGTTTGTTTGTGGTATTCACGGTTACTGTTGATGGAACTTTCTTATTCCCCGCATTCAACATTCATTCACTACCTGGTTCCTCTTCTCCTTTCGTCTGTCTTCTCTCTTATTTCTCGGGTTGATCGTGATTGACTCCTTGCCTGTGACTGCAGTAGTGACCGAGTATCATACAGTACTCTGTCTGTTACTTACTTACTACTTACTTCAACTGCTGCACTGCTCTCTGTCACACGATCATAGTCGCCGTGGTTAATTATTTCTTCATCGGTCTTCTTTCTTCTATATAAACTCTCCTTGGGAACTACTTTCTTTTCTCTTTCATACATCTATCCTACAGCTGAGGGATGATTTCAGATCGACGCCTGCGATCTGAGGCTGCTTCTCCACTTCTCTCCGTTTACGGAAGTTGACCAGACTGACTCTCCGAACTCCACATCAACACAAGGTTTGGATCGGGAAAGGAAACAGAAAACGAGACAGATCTTTTTTTCAAAAGGAAAATAAGAAGGGAAAGAAAGAAGGAAAAAAGAAAGAATCCAACGATCGAGTATCGACTCGACTCGATAAGGCTAACACCTGTTTGGCTTAAATCCCATCCACTCACTACTCAGTCTCCACTATCCAGCCCAAGCATGACTGATGCACCGTTTCCCCCTTCGAGTGGAGCTCGAGCTGCTGCTGCTCTTCCTCTGTCCACCTCATACTCCGGCCCAACCATCTCGTCAATCCCCCGCCGTTCTTCCTACGCCTCCGTCCTCTCTGGGACCGCCTTGTCTCCTCCAGAATTAACCAACAGTCCCCTCTCGCCTCTGCTGCCCTCCACCTCCACCTCCTCTTATCCCCCGCCTTTCCTTCCCGACGGCCGTCCGTGGAGGCCCCCCTCCGCCGCCGTGGATGCCGCAGACATGCAGATGAACTCGTCCTGGAGGACCTCGTCCGCCGAACCCCTTCCCCCCTACTCTCGCAAATTCGCCAACTTCCCTCGCTCCGATCCCCTTTTCCACAGTACCGCCGGCTTCGCCGACCCCGTCTTCTCCTTCACCCCCTCCTACCTCCGCAACTCCCGCTACATCTCCCGCCTCGATGCCGCCCGCCGCGCAAAGTTCGCCTCCCAGCGTGATGCCGCCACCTCGGCCGCGACGTCGCATCCGCTGTCCGCCTCCTCCAGCCAGGCCAGCTTGCCGCGGATAGCCCCGTCCCACCGCGGGATGACGTATGAAATCATCGAGCGGGAGGCCCCCGGCGAGGACGACAACCTCCTACCACTGCCGTCCCGGTGGAGCGACGCCGACAAATATGCCGGTCTGGAGCTGACCAATGGAGGCGTGGAGGCCCGGTATACGGGTCCGGTGAATAAACATGAACATGAGGCGGCGACCGTGCGGGCAGACAATCCCATGCCGCCCCAGTGCGGCATCTACTATTTTGAGATAACCGTTCTCTCCAAACCGAAAGAAGGGTATGTATCTCACCAATAATAGGGAAGCGGCTTTCATATGGGGGGGTTGGGGGATATAAGGATAGATACTGACAGGGTTAGGATGGTCGGGATCGGTTTCTCCAGCACGAAAGCCTCCGTCGAAAGGCTCCCCGGGTGGGAGCCCGAATCGTGGGCGTATCATGGCGATGACGGCAAATCCTTCTTCGGCGAGAGTCAAGGGCAAGGACGGCAGTATGGTCCGACGTTCGGTGCCAACGATACTGTCGGATGTGGCGTGAACTTCTCGACGGGATGTGCCTTTTTCACTAAGAATGGCGTTTTTCTGGGTAAGCCGACGAGCGTCCCTTCCGGGAACCGCGGAGACTGATGGATCCAGGTAATGCATTCCGCGAGCTACGAAATGTGAAGGTCTACCCCTCCGTGGGCATGAAGAAGCAGCCGCCCGTACATCTGGCCGCCAACTTCGGACAGCAACCTTTCATGTTCGACATTGACGGTATGGTGAAGGTGAGTGCGCATTCCATCAGGTGTTATGGTAGCCGCTAATATCTTGTGCAGAAAGAGAAGTTCTCTATCCATAACGAGATCCGCTCCACCAGCACCGCCAACTTACAGCCTCCGTTGGACGAGACTGCTCTATTACAGGAGCTGGTTGCGCAGTTCCTCGCTCACGACGGCTACGTCGAGACCGCCCGGGCCTTCGCCGAGGAGGTTGCTGCGGAGTCCGCGGCGTTGGAGAATGGTCACAAGGAACCGCTCAAGAAGTACGAAGTGGAGGAGGATGTGGAAGCGATTAATCGACAAAGTATGCTTACGTGTTACCCTTCTCGAATCATCTCACTAACTCCCTGCAGAAATTCGCGCCGCGATCCTCGAGGGAGACATTGACAAGGCCTTGAAGTACACCAATGCCTACTACGCCAACGTCCTCCACGACCACCCCCATATCAACTTCAAACTCCGATGCCGCAAATTCCTCGAGATGATGCGCCGCTGCAACGAGCTCTCATCAGCCGCATCCAAGCGCAGCAAACCGTCCAATGGACTCTCAGACAGCAGCGCCGTCTTCGACGAAGAGATGGAACTTGACGAACAGGGACAAGACACCCTCGGGTGGGACATGGACGGCATGGACACCGAAGAGCCCGAGAGCGCGGTCAAGTTCCCCGGGCTTCTCACCGAGGCCGTCCAGTACGGGCAACAGTTGCGTATGGATTATCCGACGGATGAGCGTGGCGGTGATAAGAAGATGCTGGATGATATCTTCTCGCTGGTGTGCTATCCGGATCCGAAACGGTCGGTGCATGGGCATTATTTGGATCCGGCGGGGAGGATTGCTGTTGCGGAGGAGTTGAATTCTGCTATTTTAGGTATTTCCTCCCATCTCATGTCCACCCTCTCTCTCTCTCTCTCTCTCTCTCTCTCTCTCCCCCCCCCCCTCTCCCCTGTCGACGCTAACGATTGTAGTATCCCTCGGCAAATCATCATCTGCGGCATTGGAACGCTTATACCAGCAAACGGAAGCACTGGTGAACGAGATCAGCGAAGAGGGAGGCGCTGGGGCGTTTATTAACGTGCGTAATGATTTCCTGCTATGATGGAGTTTGGCATGCTGTGATTTGACTTATGACTGCGAACATGGACTGTTCTTTTATCTTATTTATTTCGTCATCTCTCTTTTCAGCTTCTCCACTTTTCCTCCACTTCGCCGTCTGATCGGTACTTTCATATTGTCTTGAAGTGGCTGGCACGCTGTTCTGTTTCATTCTATCTTCTATCTTTTTTATCTTTAACTTCGGGACTGGACTGGACCATGTCCAAGCGCACGGACATCAGTGTAGCGTTTACAGATATGGACAATCAATCAATCAACTGAGTAAATAACATGCTTTACTCCCCCGCTTACTATCCTGTACCCCTGTTCAAATCTACAAGCACGTCCTGTGACGCTCCGCCAAGAGCACCTGGTGACATGACTGCGGCCAAACTGCTCGTTATCGTTCGTTCTCCCCTCTCCACTAAGGCAGTGGGGACGTATCAGGGTGAAGAACTGGTTTAGTCTGGACGATCCGTTTCATTTATTATGACCCCTCATTAGACTAAAAGGTGTTATAATATCTCTTCACTAGTCCGTTAAGTAAGTCTAGGTCTTTCTATCGTGGTTAAAATATAAGATCAATAGACAGATAAATCGGTTGGTGATGATGATGATGATGATGGGAATGCCTGAGGGATCCATCCGTATGGTAATGTGACCACCGATACCGCCTAGTAAGCCGACCATCAACTCTAGTTTGTTGTCCCTTTATCTTCACTTCACGTCACTTCTTCACCTTCATCTGATATATCCTCCTGTATACTATATTAAATCTCCGTCATCACCAAACAGGAGTTTCAAACCCGATGGAGAACAAACCCCACCTGTAACCAACCACTCTCCTACCCATCTATCAACCAACCAAAGATTCCCCACCTTGGGTAGTTCTCAGCTTCTGCCAACTCAGCCAACTCAGCTCAGCAGCTAGCCAGGTGTCACTCACTCAACCCAAGGGATGCCAATGCCAATCCACCATGGATTCCCACCAGGTACCCTGCATTCCAATCCAATCCCACTCGTCGCCCTCCGCGCCGGCTGCCCTGCGCTGTTGCTGTGGGCGGGACGATTGCGCATTCTTGCATCATAATCAGGTTGCCCTGGAGGGGTTGGAGAAGGATCTTGATACCGCTGCTAAGCTTGGGCAGGTATGTGTTTTTTTTTTTTTTTTTACTTACTTACTTCGTTCTTTTTTTTTGCTTTCTTTTTTGGTGGGCTAGTTAGGGGGGAATTAATTGTGGCTTTGGCTGAGTTCAGGTCGTCTTTTAAATACCCCTCCATGCTTCTACTGGTATTCTTTTGTTTGCTCATTGTTTGTTGTTGTGTTCCTTTCACATACTTTGTACATATTTGGTTCTGGGTCTCACCCGGTGGACTCGTCCCACCTTGTACCTTTTGGATTCCTCTTTCTTCCCTCCTGTCAAAGAAAAGAGAGAAAGGAGAGATTTGTATCTCAATGGCGAATCCTATCCTCTCCCGTTGCCTTTTTGTCCGTCATGACTGCTCATTCAGTGTCCTTCACGGGCTCAGGGCTAACCTTTTCTCTCCAGGCTCTTCTCCATCGCCATGAATCCTACATGGCCGAGGCAGAGGAGGACCGCCATCGCCTGCTGTTCTCCGTGGAAAGCCTCGAGCGCGAGAAACTCCAGGCCCAGGCGGAAAATGCCCGCATCATCGCCGAGAACCGCAACCTCCTGGAGCAGTTGGAGGACCTGAACAAGGCCGTCACCGAGTCGGACGCCCGCGCCAAGTCGCTCGCCGTCACCTTGGAGAGTACCGAGGCGCAACTTCGCAAACTGACCGTCTCCGCGGCCCGCGCCGCAGAGCTCGAAGCCCAGCTCGCGCAGATGGAGACCGAGCAGTCCAAGTTACAGGAGAGTCTCCAGTCTGCGCACGAGGACAACAAGTCCGCCGTGCAGCGATGGAGGAAGGCCGAATGTACCCTGCGCGACTTGCACGACCAGGTCGACCGCATCGAGAAGGAGGCGCGCGAAGAACGCGACCGACATTCTGATTTGATCCAGCGCATGGAGAGGAGACGCACTGTCGAACGCGAACTCGACGGCGCCGCGGGCCGACTCAAAGGCGCCGCCGCGGCCCAGGAGCTGGGCCGCTCCCACGGAGATAACAATGTCGTCTCCCGCTTCGTCCGGGACATCTTGCAGGACAACGCCAGCCTGCAGATGGGCATCGTCGAGCTGCGCGAGATGCTCGAGAGCTCCAACCAAGAGGTGCAGAACCTGCGGGATCAGGTTCTATATCATCAGCCGATGGCGTCGGACGCAGGCGGGGAGCCTGACCAGGCCACCACCTTGAGCCAGGAGCTGGAGTCAAGAGAGGATCGTCGCGTGTCTCGGGAATTCCACATCCACCACCACTACCACACCCCGTCCGTGAAGAAAGAAAAGGGCACCCTCCTGCGCCGGTCCAAGAAGCGGCGGTCGTGGGGGAATCCCGCCCATCTCCACTCTGCGCCCAGCGCGCTGCTGCTGCCTCGGAAAGCCGGGCACCGATCGCAGTCCTCTACCTCGTCCACCTCTACCATCTTGTCGCAAACCTCCGTCTCGATCCCCCCGTCGGCTTCCCACCGCTGGTCGCTGCAGACCCCGGCGACCGATTCTCTGGCTAGCTCACCGCAGTCTGGCTACCGGTCGTCGTCGTCCTTGTTCGACCGCGTGGAGCGCTGCTTTGACTCTCAGCCGACCAGTCCTGAAAGCAGTGTCTTTATGACTTCGTACAAAACCGGCCGACCGAAGAACGGCCGTGAAGGCCAGGACGAAATCGATGACCTGGAACCCACCCCATGCTACGGCATCCATCCCTACGACCACCCCGATCAACCCGACAAGCCTCCCATGCAGTCAGTCATTCCAGAGGAAACAGAAGACAACTCCATACAATACCACGCCTCCGAAAGGGCTGAATCCCCCGGTCCAGCTCCCGACGTCTTCTCAGCCCCATATCGCCCCTTACGCCGCGGATCCTCCCACGAGAGTCTATTCTCCGTCGCCGGAATGGACATCCACACCCCGAGTCACCAACCCTCCCGCATGAGCGACCTAACCGGCACCCTACCCATCCGCATTCCGCACCGGATAGTATCGTCCACCGCCGAGCTATCAGCCACGCCGCCTGTCATCTCTACCAACACCGTCACAGCCGACAGAGGACCTCTCAGAGCGGGCCAATCCCCACAAACCCTCCTCGCCTCGGTAGCAGCAGCCAAACATCACGACGCCTCATCGGTAGACAGCGATCACTCCAACGCAACAGTCACCCCGACGCGCAAAATGCCCCTCACCCGCCGCGTCGGCGGCTGGGTCCGGGGTCGTTGGGGCACAGCCCCTGTTACAAGTGACCACGTCGACTGCCCCAACGAAGCCCCCATTTCTTCTTCCTCCTCCTCGTCCAGAACCTCCTCAGTACCCCCACCGGTCCCTCCCCCAGCCGAACAACCCAGACCCTCCTCCTCAGGAGACAAGAACAGAGGAGCCCCGTCCCTCCTCCACTTCCGCTACCCAGGCGTCAACCAAAAGGGTCCTATAATGGGCTTTCGGCCTGCGCCTCGTGCGCCGGCTGTTCTTCACCCGGAGAATTTGGATGAGGGTTTGTTGAGGGAGAGTCTTGCTGAATAGATTCTACTTGTCTATTTTTTTTTTTTTTTCCTTTTTCTTTTTTGCCTGTTGATCTTGCAGGGCGGTGTCTTGTCTTCTGACTGGTGCAGAGTAGATAGGTTGGGCCTTGCTTAGTACATTGTATATTATACTTTATTTGATACTGCGGTTTGTATTATTGTGTGGATGTGGATGTGGATGATGGTGTGGTGGTGATCTGGTGGGTTTGGATTATGTTTTGTGCTGTGATGGTTTTTTTTTCTTTTTCTTTTTTCTTGCACTGTTCAACTAGATGATACCCATTCGTTTATTTATTTATTCTTTCTTGTTGATCAATTGGTTGGTTCGTTTATCGGTTTAAGGGTTGTACACAACCTGAAGGAGGTTGTGTTGAGATAGGTGGTAGGTATACAATTCTATATATCGAGTTATCTACCTGAAAAACTTAATTGATCAATCACAAGAATGGCATATGCCAGTCATCTGTTAATATCGATTATATATGTAGTAGTACCAGTCGCCCAACATCACGTCCAACTTATCTCGATACCCATTATATTATATTCCTACATCTATATATTCTTCACGAAGCAGAGTCGTTCCTCCACATATCACTCTCCTATCACCCATACCCCGGCACTACAACCCAACCACATACCAAGTATATAATTCTTTAATCTTTCCGATTCAATTGATTAAAGTAAGGTGATAGATCAGTAACTACCTCCAAACCCGATACGTACTAATCGGAATCCTCGTCGAATGGAAGAACCCCAACTGCTCACTCTCAGCGGGTGAGTCGAATGGGAGACGCTCTGTTTTGAAACTTGCCGATTCTACCCGTTTGTTAGTTTCATGTCATGCATTTATCATCCATCCATATTATGGCTACTCGTTGGAGTAGGAGGAAGCTCCGTTGGAGTAAAAATAAGCTCCGTTGGAGTAAGAAGGTGAAAGGAGGGGAAGGGTGAGAGAGGACATACGACAAGCGTCAAGGAACGCATTGAATGTTTTCTCATTCCGTAGTGTGGCTGAGATGAGGAATTCTTGGACTTTGTAGTTCGTGAAGAGGTCGTCGAGGGTGCTGATCAGGAGGGGGATGAGGTCTGTGTCGTAGATCTATGATATCGCAGGTGGTTAGTAAGGTCATCAGCAACATACTCACGCCCACATCTCACAAGATGTGTAAAAGAAGAAGAGAAGGAAAAGAAGGGAACAAACCAAGTCCGCCCCAACAACCACATCAAACTCGGGTTTCTCCCCCCCTCCCAACCGTCTCAGCTCCGTCCCCCACTCCCAAATCCCCGCCCCAAACCTCTCCCCCAATTTATTCCGTCCCGCACTATCCACCATCCCATCAATCAGCGCAGGCTCCATATCAGTAGCGAGCACAGAATCCGGCTCTAGATATTTCGCGCAAAACATAGACAGAAATCCCGTCCCCGCGCCGAGCTCGAGGACCCGTTTCCCGGTCACGAGGCCTGCGCCGGCGGGCGTGGAAAGGAATGTGCCGAGGTGGAGGGCGGCTTCCCAGGTACGGAAGCCGGTTGTGCCTGAGGCGAGGATTAGGCCTCGGGATTCGGAGGTTATTATTGTTCGGGGGTTGCTGTCATTGTCGGTTTGTGCGGGGGAGGAGGGGGTGGGTGAGGAGGGGGAGGGCGAAGGCGCGGTGTAGGTGACGTAGGTGAGTTGTTGGGCTTGTTGGATGGAGGAGGGTTTGGGAGTGCATATTAAGGTGCTGTAGGCTTCTGTGAGGTCGTCGGAGATTTCCTATATATTTCTGGTTATTTTCTTTTTTTTTTGCGACATGCGACATGCGACACGCGACACCCAATCTTCAACAAAACAAAGCAGACAGGGTCAAAGAAAGAGAAGGATAACATACATCCTCCTCAGGATCAACCACACTCTCCTCAATCCTCGAAAGAATCATCTTCAGGACGCGCGCGCGATAATGTATCGGCGGGAGGGGCCATGTCGCAGACTCGTCGAACATGCGCGTGTAGATCGCGCGCTGGATAGCGGGATTGATGAGAGTCGGGCCATCGGGGAGGGAGAGAGAGGGTGTCTCGAGTTGTTGGAGGTATTGCGCGACGAGGCGGTTTATGGGTTGGGGGGTGGACATGGTGAATACATGTGGTGGATGGTGGGGTTGAGTGAGGGGAGGGAGCGGCTATCAGGCTGTATGTTGTTTCCGATATTAGAATGAGAAGAACGGGCCCACTTTGATATTCGCCGGTTCAGTCAACGCACCATATTTACTCGTTCATGTGTTTTGTAGATGTAGATTTCGACGTTTCTGTCGTAAATATGCACCCTTGGTGTTTGTTGAAAAGAATTACCAGTCAGGTAGAAGAGATATCATGACACTTTTGCGCTCCGTAGATGATATTGTCCATATTGCAAGAGTGTCAATACAATACTGCCACTACACAATATAGTAAGTACATTAGCTATTTCCTGCACACGTATCTCAAGGTAAGATCTAAAGAAATCATTTAATGTCTTTTCCTTCTAAGGAAGTAGCGATATGGATGTGCTTGTCTGGCACTGTCCATTGTGAAGTAGATAGAATTAGGAAAGAAGCACCTACCTTAAGTAGCATTGATATGATTCCCTACTCTCATCCCTCCTTCGATCTCTTTTTGTCTTCCCTTTCTCATCTTGCTTATGTCGTATATGGTTATCGATTATGTCCTGTCTGTGTATTTTATCGGGAGACGGTTCTATCACAGTCGATAGCCAAAACTTGCTTCCATGATCGACTATCTTAAGTAAGTTGAATTTCTCCTTCCCACTCCCCCAGTGAAGAAATATATGGAAAGAACAGCGTGAGGGATCACCAGGCTTCGGTCGGGTTGAACTCCATGACCTGACTTTGCACATCTGAGGGGGACGCTTTGGCCCGTGCCCAAGGGTACCGTGGACCTCGCTACTATGTAGTAGCGGGAGAAGCTATAAATTTTTGGAACCTTTCTGAGCTCTGGCTAACCAGTCTTCTCTCTCGTCTTTTTTAGACAGGTAGCATTTCTGAAAAGAGTGAGCCAAGGTCACATACCTACTAGTTCAAAGCATCGCAGACTCTGGGTCTCATCACCACTTGGTACCGCATTCCGAGATCAGATGTATGTGTGATATGTGTGATTTGGAGAGTGACGCGAGTGGACGTGTATAGATTGGAGGAAGTTGAGAGATGAGCATGAAGAATTGAAGCATACCTGTTGGGTTTGTACTGAGTACAGATGTGCTATGATCAGTAGTATAACGATCATCAAAGAGATAACCCAACCGTGGCTTAGGGAACGTTTTCATGATGAAAGGATAAATATATCAAACCAAAGTAGATGACAAGATACTTGACAGATGAAATATAAAGTTACAGACACGTATTAACAACATCCCTCTAGGACAGTAGAGAAAATGGGATCTTGGACTCAGATGCCGGAGATGTTCCGTCCCAGAGTCCAGCTCGGTGGTACATTCTCCATCAGGCATGGATCTCATCACAGTCCATAAATGAAAAGAACAGCGTGTATGTCAATATCAAAGCGACATGGAGGAGGGAGACGAGGAAGAAGTGGAGGATGGGAAGTTTGTTTGATTCATGGCGATTCTAAAAGCATCACGTGATTTTATGTCACGCTGACGAGATTCGAGAATATGGGCTTATAGCTTTCCGCTATCAGAAGATGAGACCGTCCTACTTATATCTTTTTGTAAACACTCAATAATAAATAGGATGCTTCGGACTGGCTATGTTGAGTATGGTATATCATATTCCTTTCAGAACCAGAAGGCTACTTGTGCAGTATTACTATAGTATTAATCACGTTTATTCTTTCTTGGATTTTGTACAGATATAGTACATAATATACGATTGCCGAGATGATGAATAGTCTCGAGAAACTTTCGTAAGAATCTATATACTCTAAGATGAATGATAGTAGGCTCGACGAAGTAAGTATAGATCTAGAAACGCATTAGACAACCTCCCAGTACAATTACTACGGTAAATACGGCGGACTCAGACGCCGAGATCTTCCGTCCCGAGTCTACTCGGTGGTGCATTCTCTTTATCAGACATATTTCATCACGGCCCGTGAATCAAAGAACAGGTAAGATGGCAGGAGGAAGAGAAGAGGAGAGAGTTCAATCCCATATCTATACAGTTGTATAATCACGTGGTTTATTCATGCTGACAAACTGAAGCATAAATTAATGCCTGAGGTATCAAAAAAGACTAACCACATTCATACTAGTACCAGGCTAGATAGACAGTCACGTGTGGTCTAACCCAACCCGGTTAGCCCGCCCTAGCCGAGCCCACAGCCAACGCGGCACAACCAAAGCGTAAAAATTAATCGATCGATTGCACCTCGAGCCCGCCTACGACAGCGACTTCGACACGCCAACTCCTCCGTCCCTGTCGACTTCTCTCGTCAATCACCGCAACCATGGCCGATACTCCCGTCACTCTGCGGACTCGCAAGTTCATCCGCAACCCCCTGCTTGCTCGCAAGCAGATGGTCGTGTAGGTTTTTCCCAATCTATTGTGCCGCCGGATCTGTGCGAAACGAGGTGGAAGAGGAGAAGGAGAGATCAACACAACAAGAGGAGGAATGAGATCAACACAACGAAAGAACGAAGGAAAACGAGAAGATCACCACCGTTTCGATCAGAAGAGATGGCTCGGGCATCACTTGGTTTATCTGGTTGGAATGCAATCTAATAATATATATACAGGGACGTCCTTCACCCCAACCGTGCCAACGTCTCCAAGGATGAGCTCCGCAGCAAGCTCGCCGACCTGTACAAGTCCAACAAGGACCAGGTCTCCGTCTTCGGCCTCCGTACGCAATACGGTGGTGGCAAGACCACCGGCTTCGCCCTCGTCTACGACTCCTCCGAGGCCCTGAAGAAGTTCGAGCCTCACTACCGCCTGGTTCGCATCGGTGCCGCCACCAAGATTGAGAAGGCCAGCCGACAGCAGCGTATGTCTTTGGATGAATCTGGGTATGGGTATCGGAGTGGACGGCTAATGAGATTCTTCCAACAGGCAAGCAACGGAAGAACCGCTCCAAGAAGTTCCGCGGTATCGCCAAGGTCAAGGGCCCCAAGAAGAGCAAGAACTAAGCGTATTGCGTCGGATTCCGGTGAAGGGCAGGGAGGTCCAGGTTGTTGTTGCAAGTGGACTCGAGCATGGACTGGGATGCGGTGGCGGTTACGGCCTGATCAAGGCTATGGCCCTACTGCTAGGTGTGATAATGACGGTCCCCTTGAGATTATCGCACCCATGACGACCAACGGGGAGACAGAAGAAATCAAAAAAATACGAATAAAGATTCTCTTGAGCTTTTGGGGTTCGGTTTTTCTTTTTTATTTTTTCCTCCGCAAGGGATGGGATGAAAAATAGTTTTTATTTAACTTGTTATTTCATGTTCTCACCCGACCTGCTTCAGTCTTCGCCTTCCCAATGCTTGTTTTCCATCCATGCAATACCAGACCTTCTCCTGCTTTAGGTCGAGTTGATAGCTCGGCAATGTACTGTTATGAACCTGTCATTCTTTGTCTGACATTCCATATCCATTTCTATCCATCTATCAAATCGATAGCTGTGTACCTGTAGACCCTCTCAGTCTCACTGCCACCGGGCCGAGCCACGGTGCACGTCCCTACCTCACTATACAACTTGACATGCAACGTACGTATCTATACGCATACAACTCAAGACATACAACATACCATCTATGCATAGAAAGAACATGATCAACCCAACAAAAGAAAAGAAAGATAAAAGATAGCTCCCACCACCATCTGCTGTGTCCCCCTCCACCACGCCATGTAAGACATACATAAGGATAAAGCTATCTAAGTAGTATGTTATATCCGACAACCAACCAATCCAGCAAGACCGCCGTCTACAACAACAAAACAGTCCAAAACAATAAAAAGACCTCATTAGTTGGGTAAAGTATAGGCTCCTACCTAACCACAGTAGGCAACACCTCCGGGATGCAATAGTAATAGTCCCTCTCATTAAAGGTAACACAACAACGTATTCCTTCTCACCTCCGCCCAACAACGATAATCATCATGTAACCCGAGCCCTCCTCCTGCCACGTCGGCGCATTCCTCGATCGAGCTTGGCCGGTGGAGGAGGGTCTGGGGCTAAACTGTGGGTATGGTTGTGTTAGGTAGGGTTCGGGAGTATTTCGGGAGTAGCGATCTATGTATATATGGTGAATTTGAGTGTGTAAAGGTGGGTAGTAGTTACATGAGGTACAGTGTTCTTTCTGTTTGATAGAATAGTGGATGATGAATGTATCAGTCAACGGAATATTAGCTGTTTGAGGTTAGAGTTATCTTCTTTGTTATCTGCCTGTCTGTCTGTCTCTCTTCCTCTCTATCTCTTTAACGGTGTCTTACATTATATTATATGATATATGACATATTACAAATACATCCATCCATATATCCCTCTCTCATATTATCATACCATGTTGGTTATTGGCTATCTGCACAGACTCCCACGCAGGTAGGTATACAATGTTTCAGTAGGAGGCACCGCCATTATCCTGGTATCTGGTACACCCATTATTGGTTATACATTAGACCACTAATTAGCTAAGGTACTTGAAAGAGTCAACCTAATAGACCCTAGATACTTACCTACCCAACAGGACAGACGCAGACAGACAGGTGGAGTTGGAACGCGCAACGACCGGTGAAACGGCTATTGCCCACGATAGATAGAGACATGCTTTGATTCTGGAGGCTGAACTCTGGAAGGCTGGGGGCGTCCATAGAATTAACTTAACATTATTTGAACAATAATTTAACATTTCTCGGGCAGATCTGGAGATCATAACTTTCAAACATGCTTTGTTCCTTTTTCCTCGTATGAGGTCAGTGGTTGGTGAGTCAAGTTGGTTGTTGTTGGTTGTTGTCCTTTGTTGGTTGGTGAGTTCAACCTCAGTTATATACGGAGTACCTCGGTATATAAAAACCTATTAAGTAGGTACTCAGGCCTCAATGGCGTCAGTCAATCAATGCAGTGGAGTTAGACCTACTCCCACCTATCCAGGGCTTGAATGGAGCCATGGATAATAATATGAGATCACCAGACACAATACACCGAGTCATGGCGATCCTTCTTTGTCCCCTGTCTCTCTTTTCTTTTTCCTTCCCCTACGAGTCTATGTCTGCGGTCATTCTCCCCCCCCCCCGAGGAGGATTAAGGTTGGTGCTAGGCTAGCAGGGCACTCGAGCCAAGAAGGTGATCAGTCGAATTCTGTTCCTATCCTTGTTCTTGTTCTTGTCTCTGTTTCCCCGCTGGAGTCGGAATAAACGGTTTGCTGGGGCGGACTTAAAATTGGAGATTCATCTGATCTCGTAATCTAATCAATTCGTTGGTCTTTCTTCGGTTCCACGTCTGGTAATATAGTCAATGGTCAGGAACGATCTGTCGGCTATTGTTGCGGACGGGCCGGTCCCATACTTTGGAGTTACAGAAATCAATCTTTAATAAAACAGAGGAAGATAAAAGAAGGTAGAGGGTAAGATTAAGAGATCATGATTAAGTATATCTTGGTCTAACCAAGTCGCAATGTAAGATGTTAGATGTAAAAACAGAAGGAAACCACCAACAGCCGAGGGAATATGCAAAGTAATAATAATTAAACAAGACAAACCCAACCAACAAGACAAAGAAAAAAAAAATGAAAAGGAAAGAAAAGACTAAAGAAGAAAAGAAGAATTAAAATCGATAAACCCTGACCCGGTGGAAATTAATTTTGCTTTTTCCCTTTATATTCAATCCCCCACAACAAGCGCCGGCGGTCCACGGTGTCTCACATTCCCGACGTGACCACCACTTCGTATATTGTACACGTCGATCAAAAGCCATCGGGGCTGCTCAACGCCGACATCGATGCTCGAGGGAGGCCAGATGGCGTTCGGCAGTCGGGCGCCGTGTCCAGCGTGACCGGGATGTATGGCTCGCCCGGCTGCGGCCCCGAGTGCTTGGGCCGCGTGTAGGGAAATCCGTTGATCAGGGTCGCCACGGAGCTTGAATCCCCCGACGTGGAGCGGTGCCGCTTCTCGCTGCTGCTATAGCCGTACAGGTCGGAGCCGGACTCCGTGGGAAAGAGGCGCTGTGCGTCGTGCGAGAAGGTTCGCGCTAATCGCCCGTGGCCGTTCCTGCGCAGCTCATCCCCCGGGTCTACCGAGTCGAGCGGTGCAAATTGCCCGCCTGCGGAAATCAGAGGCGACGAAGTCGGCACGAATCCAAGGCCCATGTCCTGTGCTGTGGAGGGGATCGGCTTCGTTCGGACAGGACTGGTGGTGAAGGCTCCTTCGTTCGTCGGTAGGAGCGGCGTGCGGGTGCGGTTTGAATTGAGACATTTCGTAGTCCAGGCGTTTGTTCTGTAGTCCGATGCGTGCGTCATGCCCATCATTGGCTCGGGAGATGCGGTCGAAGCCGGCAGACCCATCTGCAATGAATTTCGGCTGGTAGGGCTCGGGAGAGTTCGGTCCACCCCCTGACTTTCAGAAGGCATCGACGGTATTACTTGTGCCGCTGGTGGCAGATCCACTGACCCCGGTCCAGAAAATATATATGGATAGGCAGTCGGCGCCAAGTTCTCCGATTCTTGGTCCGGATATACCGTCCCGTTAGCTCCCCGGCTAGCGTGGAGGCTCGGACTCCATGTCTTCGACGCCCATGAGAAACCACAGAAATCAGCCAAGTCGCCTTGGGGGGTACCAGGAACCATGTAGGTCGGGGCTTGGGGGTGGTACGCAGAGGAACCGATATCGTATCCTGCCAACGGATCGGTGAATGACGCTCGACTGAACTGTTGCTGAGAGTCGACCGATCCCAGATCATAGCCCGATGGCCGTGCATACGAAGCAGTCCGCGATCCCAGATGTACCACCGGCTGACACACGCCATATCTCTGAGCCGGAGACACGGCAGGACCCATGATGGGATACGGCCATCCGCTGGTCTTGGTCTGCAATGCTGATGAATTAACCTGGGGTTTTCATTAGCCCATCTAGCTTGACATCTAACATATCAAGGGTCTAGCTCGACATCTAGCATATCAAGGATTAAGAAGACTTACCCGTAAGAACTGACAATTGTAATTTCCTGACATACGGCAGTTAGTGCAGCCTTGGCCATCACCGGCATCACCGCTGCACTTGATCTTTCTTTTGCGACAACGATTGCACTGTCGGTATTAGACTAGATCTGATCATATGACGAAGTTCAGGCAGACATACAGCAACTTGTATACGACGTCTGGTCGAGTTTCGAGTCTTCCCATCCAACTCCTGCGACGGACTGACGCAGTCGACGCTCCTGTCCAGTATATCCGGCTGGCTCCCATCCCGCATGGGATGCACCATTGGAAGACCATCTGGCTTGTGCTGATGCTCAAAGGCAAGCCCCTCTGGGGAGTAGTAAGGATGGGCCATGACTTCATCGATTAGCGCAGATGTAAACATGTTGTTCCGCATTCTGAGACTCACATAACGAGTCAAGACAAGAACCGCCAAAGAGAAAAGTATTTCAAAGATTCCCGGAGAAAGAAGATGAAGGAGTATGAATCAGGGATGAAGGTACCCAGCATGTTCTATCTACCTTTGAAGTATTGAAAAAGGAACCGGGAAACGATGAGAGGGGTTGCCTTTTCGTCGGAAGTAAGGTCAGATTTAAGCCCATGCGCCTGTGGTTTCTCTCGTCATTTGTCTGATTGCTTGGTTTGGATATTTTCTTTTTGTCCTTTTGTTTTTTGTTTTATTTCATTTTCCTTTATTTTCATTTGTTCTTTTTCTTTTTCTTTTCTATTTCTTGTTTTCCTTTTTGTTCTTTTTTATAAAAAGAACGAAATAAAAAAATATTGTCCTGTTGGCCGGTCAAAAGAAAGAACGATTTCGACCGATCAGACCCTCACCTGTAGAGTTCCAGAAAGATATAATGTCCCTTAATCCATTCCCTTCTTCGAAAATCCCCAGTTCGGATCAATTATCCTTTTTTGTTTTCTGTTTTCTTTTTTCTTTTTGTACTCTCGGTCATACCAGAGACATCATGCAAATTTCCGTGTTGCATCTTCCTTATTTCTCAATTCCTGTTGGTTGGTTCATCATGATTTTCTGTCTTGTCTTGAATCCTCCCCCAAAAAACACTCATCTCGGTTGGAAAACCCTCAGGAAGATGCTGGTGGAAAGGCTAGACAGTCTGAACGCCTGGGCGTTTAAGAGGTTCTGTTTCACAAAAGTAACGTTGCACGAGTTGAATATGGCCTGATAGCACGGAGGAGTCGCCATCGCGAGTCCAAGCTGGAAACCCCGGAGATCTCAGTCTGCCTTGCCAACCAGTGATCCTCGGATCATGCTCCACCAGCCCTCTTTGCTCTAGCCACAGTTTCAAAGGCAGATCATTCGCCCCTCCCAACGACCCGGCAAGGCTTAGATCGGAAATCAGATGAGGGCGGGTCCCAGAGACCGCTGGCAGGGCAGATCAGATCTCCGCTGACTAGTACGTTTGCAGATGGCTCCATGCTAAGATTGGGAGCGGAACGCACGATCATGGCCGATGTTTGCCCGTTAGAACGGTGGCCAGGTGGGGAGCCTATTGGTTCGGCTTGGGCAGTCTTCAGCGGTCAAACAAACTCTTTCAGAGGCCTGAACTCGGCCAGTACTTTTGGCACCCACAAAACTTGGTATTGAGCCGAAGTGAGATGTTTCGTGATGAGGGTGGTCTTTTTTTCTCTCACCACGATTTTCGGAGGACAGGCAACAGATGAGACTCACAAGGTCCCTGCAAACGAGATCGCCCCCCACCAGGGATTACACTGATGTTTCGGGTGGCTTTTGGGGCTCTTACATCTTCAAAATAACGCAAGACTAACGATCAGAGTGATCCTGGGAATGGAATCATGTAGATCATCCCCGTCCCGGCCCAGTCCCGATCTAGCCTAGTAGCTAAGCACGATTTAGGAAGGAGCTCTGGTGGAAGTTAATCTGACTAGAAGCCTCTTATCCAGGTCACCGGGCTGGATCGCTGGATCACTGGATCTGCATAGGGTCATCAAGTGGCGTGGAGCTTTTCCCCATTTCTCAGGGATTTTCTCAGGGATTTTCACCCGCGACACTAGAGCTGGGAGATGTGCCAGGGACCCCCCGGGCAAAAGAAATGAACAAATCAACACGAGAGGAAAGGGAAAATGCAAATGTGATTTGGGGAAAAGAGACGTAATTTGCCCAACGACCCTCATTTAGTGGCATCATCAACCAGCGATAGGTGTCAGGGACGTGGGGCCAAGGGAGATCCAGTATGCACAGAGTTCAGGGGTCCGAAATATCGTACCTGACGTAGCTGGTCTGGTCTGAACGAACACCAACCAACATTAGTTTGGCACCACCTCTGGTCTTGATTGGAACGGTTTCATCCCAGGTGCGTGTCAGTATTCCTGTGCGCCCAGTCAACTTGTTGAAAGAAACGAAAGCGCAGCCAGCGATACTAGCCGGGTTTGGGATGGGAAGCCAAGAAACGTTGACCACACTTGGGGAAATTTGAACCAGAATATAGCCAAAAGAAGGAAAACAAAAAAGGGGGAAGAAGGCGACGATTGTAATTGAACAAATGGATAGTCTGATAAGGACCAAATGAGAAGAAAGCGTTCTTCTTCTTTGGCATCCTCATCGCAAATTGTTTGGCTGAGAGTGGCTGGCGGTTGATATTAGGGCCAGCCTCTCCAGGCTAAGGACCAGTGAAACTCGTCCATCCCTCACTAGCGTCTCAGCCTGTCAATCACGAACGAGAGAATGGAGATAAAGAGTGAAATAAGAGGTAATAAACAAATATATAAAATAGCAACATAAAAGAATAGGCTAAAACAACATGAAACAGAGGGGAAATAATAGTAATAAATTCAAAAAATGCGTATTACAAAAGATAAACCAGTAGTTCTCATTGAAATCTCACCACGTGCATTCAATCTCAACAAATTAGTATGACCTTGGTATTATCAGTGCGGTTGGATCCTACGAAGCGTCAGTCACTGACGGCCAGATCAGCTAATCCATCGAGCTGCTGGGCATAAGCTGCAGGAGACCGCCCGTTATTTTCCAACGCCTCTGTTGTGAAACTTCCCAAAACGGAGGGGGAACGGGCCCAGCAGTACGCCTAGCCAAGTCAGGTCTATAACCCGAGGGCAGGCGAAATGGGGTTGCAGTTGTTGGTCTAGTACGGAGTAGACAGGGGACAGGCAAGTCGGCCAGAAATCCACCGTCCATATTTCCTCTTCTCTTCGCTTGTCGAGTTTGCATCATGATCCGCGTCATGATCCGCACCGATACAAACAGGCCCCGGAGCAGTGTCTTGATTCAGACCCATTGCTCTAAGCTGTCCGGGTCTTCCGGAAGATATGCCGTTGGGTTGAGAAGAATGGCCCGTTACACGAGACGGCGCCGGGTCAACCTTCCGATGGTGTGAACCCCTCGAAAGCATCGACGGATATCGCACAGGGCTTCAATCTTTCCCACGGCCTCTGTATGACTGTTACTAGTGTGAATTTACGGCCGCGACGTGTGGAAAAGCCCCAGGACGGTACGACGTTCCATCCCGGCCGTTGCAAGCTCGTATGGACAAGGTGGACAATGCCATTCCGAGGCTTTTTTTTTTATATTAGCGGCGTCTGTTATTTTATTAGCGATATGAAACAGATGATTGAAAAGGCCTAGAGTTTGATAACAGAGATAGCCCCTATGTTACTGATGGCAACCCGGACTCGATCGTTGATGTGGAAGTTGTACATTGGAGGTGAAAGAAGTATCTCGGTAGTCTCAGTTACTCACTAGTAGTAAGCTCAAAGCTGCCGTTGCTGCCAGGATCGACAGGCCAACCGATTGGGCGAGCGGCAGCGGCTCCGCAGTGACCTCAGGCTCTTCGCTTTTTCCCTCTGCTACTCATGATTAATTCTAGAATCTCACCATAATTGTCTTCACCTTTTGTTTATTATTTTCGGTCGACGTTGACCCTTGATTACATCCTTGTCTTGAGTCAAAGCTGCTCCTGCCATCCCCGAAGAGAGCTCTGTACCATCCCCATTTCACACGGGTCCGACCGTTAAACGCACCGCGACCCGGGTCGCATCGCCTGCAGCCACCTGACAAGCACCATGAGTGTTCTGCTGGAGACCTCCCTGGGGGATATAGTTATCGACCTTTTGGTTGACGAGTCGCCCAAGGCATGTGAGAAGTAGGTCCCCCTTTTTGTTTTGCATCGCACATCTGCACCGTGCCTTGAGAGGCAGGGGCGCATAGACAATGTCGAGTGGCTGAACGAGAAGACTAAGCAATCCGTGTTCTACCGTTCTAGCTTCCTGAAGCTATGCAAGATTAAGTATTACAACTTTTCGCCCGTCCACAGCGTCCAGAAGAATTTCACCTTTCAGACCGGAGATCCGCTGGCCGAGTCCCCTGAGAGCGATGGCGGGTCGAGCATCTGGGGCGTGTTGGACGGCCCTTCCAAGAGAACCTTCGCCCTCCCCGTCCCACCCAAGCTGAAACACGATGTCAAGGGCACGGTCAGCTTGGCGACTGTCGCTTCCCCGCACGATCCGGATGAGCGCATCGCGGCCAGTCAGTTTATCGTCACGCTGGGGGACAACCTCGACTACCTCGATGGGAAGGCCGTGATCTTTGGGAAGGTGGTGGAAGGGTTCGACGTGCTGGATAAGGTCAATGACTCTTTCATTGACGGTGCTGGCCGACCGCTCAAGGATATCCGGATCCGCCATACTGTTGTTCTCGACGACCCGTTCGATGACCCCCCCGGTCTGGTGGAGCCTGCGGAGAGCCCTGTCCCGTCCAAGGCGCAGCTAGCTACGGTGCGGATCGCCGATGATGAAGAACTTGACGACAATATGGATGAAGAGTCAATGGAGAAGCTCCGGCGAGAGCGGGAGGCACGAGCACAAGCCTTGACTCTAGAGATGGTCGGCGATCTCCCGTTCGCAGAGATCAAGCCGCCCGAGAATATTTTGTTCGTTTGCAAATTGAATCCAGTTACTCAAGGTAAGACGTCCCTGATTACTATATTGTTGATACCGTACATGCTTACATGCCAATGCGACTACCAGATGAGGATCTCCACCTGATTTTCAGTCGCTTTGGACAGATTCTCTCATGCGAGGTCATCCGAGACAAGCGGACCGGGGACAGTCTCCAGTATGCCTTCATCGAGTTCGAAAACCAAAAAGATTGCGAGCAAGCCTACTTCAAAATGCAGGGAGTCCTCATAGATGACCACCGGATCCATGTGGACTTCTCCCAAAGCGTCCGTCACCCCCACCTTGTGTCCCGTTGTCCGGCAACTTCCCTGGCTAACATACCCCGCAGGTTTCAAAACTGTCCGAGAGTTGGCGGAATGCCACTGTCACGAAAAGAAGCGGTCAGCGTGGTGGCTTCGGTGGCGTCGCAGGCCTCGAGCAGAAACGACAGTATCGGGCCTCGGACACGGCCACCACCACGCGTCCCGACGATGACTACGGGATGGTATTTAGAAAGAACGAGTCGCGGCGACGGTCCCCCAGCCGAAGTAGTCCCCCGCGAAAGAGCGCCCCTCGCGACCGACGGGGCAGCGGGAGTCCCCCGCCCGAGTCGCGCCGGCATCGATATCGCGACCGATCGCACAGTCGCAGTCCACACCGCGGGGAACGGAGCTATCGGGAGAAGGACCGAAGTCGATACGACGATCGTGATCGTGATCGAGACCGTCGCCGTGATCCACGAGATGATCGGTATCGGGACAGACGCCGTTGGTAGTTACAACAGCGCCGACAGCATTGATCAATCGCATAAATTTGGTAAACAAAGATATTGTATATGAACAATCCCCTCCTGTGATATATATTCATTGTATCGTACTCTGTATATTCTCACTATTTTCGAGAGTGGTCCTCCCAATAATCCACATAGTCCGTCAATAGTCCATCTGTTTCGCCAAGTGTCGGTGAAACCAGCCCCACCGGCTCTGCAATGGTTGCCCCGCCTCGATGTCGCCTCCAGCAGGCCAGGAAGAGGGGGGATTGGTCACTGCAATTCGAATGCGAGACAGTTGCCTGAATCGCGACCCAAAATATACACTGTAGCAGACTAGCCGTCTAACTGTTCTCAGTGAATGCGATTCTTTGGTCCAAGTATTGGTTCCAAGTGCAGAGTCGGGCTAAAAATAACCCATCTCCTGAGGTCAAACATGGGAAAAGGAAGAGCTGGAGTGATCAGCATACTAACTAGACGTGCTTTAGTGTGTTATACATAAATACCTCTCGGCCTAGACTAGAATATTCAAGCATTCACTCTCAGCTCCTTATCCTCCTTCCTCCCTCCATCTCACCTACTATTCTCCTCTTACTTTCCTCTGTCTCGCCTACCTTCCCATTCAGTCCGTGTCACATTCTCGGTCTAGAATTATTAACTATTCTTTTTTTTTCTCTATCTTAACAAACACAAGTCGTCCCCATGGCTGCCGCTATCAAAGAAACGGTCTCGAACCTAGTCAATAAGATTCACGGACAACCAGAAGATGCCCCGCGTGAACCGTCCGCCGAGGAATTCCAACAGCTGCGACAAAAATATGAGGCCGCCAACCAAGGCCATGTGTTTGCGTTCATCGACGAACTGAAGCCCCTCGAGAAGACCCTCCTCTTCCACCAACTGGCCAACTTCGACCCCACCCGCATCAACGAGCTCGCCGACAAGGCCCTCAACCCCTCCCAGACCCACGAAGAATCCGCAGCCTCCCTCGAACCCCTCCCCGACGTAGCCACCGCCTCCATCCTCGACTCCGATCCCAAAGACCTCCAGCGATGGTACGACGAGGGTCTCCAGCTCGTCGCGGACAACAAGGTCGCCGTCGTGTTGATGGCCGGCGGCCAGGGTACCCGTCTCGGAAGCTCCGCCCCCAAGGGCTGCTTTGACATCGGTCTCCCCAGCCACAAGCCGCTCTTCCAGATCCAGGCTGAGCGCATCGTCAAGCTGCAGCAGCTGGCTCAGAAGATCTCCGGCAAGCCGGCTGTGATTCCCTGGTATGTGATGACCAGTGGGCCTACGCGCAAGCCGACGGAGCAGTTCTTCGAGCAGCACAACTACTTTGGCCTGGACAAGAGCAATGTCTCTATTTTTGAGCAGGGCGTCTTGCCTTGCATCTCCAACGAGGGCAAGATCATGCTGGAGAGCAAATCCAAGGTACATAGCCACCGTCCAACCCACGCTCCCAGCCTCTCCCCAGACCTCTCCTAACGATATACAGGTCGCAGTCGCCCCCGACGGCAACGGCGGCATCTACCAAGCGCTGGTGACGTCCGGCGTGCGGGAAGACATGCGGGCGCGCGGCATCGAGCACATCCACAACTACTGCGTCGACAACTGCCTCGTCAAGGTCGCCGACCCGGTCTTCATCGGCTTCGCCGCCTCCAAGAAGGTCGACATCGCGACCAAGGTGGTGCGCAAGCGCAACGCCACCGAGTCCGTGGGCCTCATCCTGCAGCGCAACGGCAAGCCCGACGTGGTCGAGTACTCCGAGATCGACGAGGCGACCGCCGAAGCGGTGGACCCCAAGCAGCCGGATCTGCTCAAGTTCCGCGCGGCCAACATCGTCAACCACTACTACTCGTTCAAGTTCTTCGAGTCGATCGAGAGCTGGGCGCACAAGATGCCGCACCACGTCGCCCGCAAGAAGATCCCCTGCATCCTGGCTGAGAGCGGCGAGTTCTACAAGCCTGAGAAGCCGAACGGCATCAAGCTGGAGCAGTTTGTCTTTGACGTCTTCCCCATGACGCCTCTGGAGAAGTTTGCTTGCATCGAGGTCCGCCGCGAGGACGAGTTCTCGCCGCTGAAGAACGCCCGCGGGACTGGCGTCGACGACCAGGATACCAGCCGACAGGATATCATGAGCCAGGGGCAGCGGTGGATTGAGAAGGCCGGTGGTGTGGTTGTCACTGATGGCGAGGCTGTCGGTGTGGAGGTTTCTCCTTTGATCAGCTACGTACGTTCTCCTCCTCCATTGATTCATTTGGGAATATGAACTGACAAATATCACAGGGCGGAGAAGGGCTGGAGTTCCTCCAAGGACGCGAGATCAAGGCCCCTGCCGTGATCGAAAAGGAGGAATAGATGGGTACCCCACCCATTTCAATTTAATCCATGGGTCAACAGCATCAACAGCGGACACTGGCAGCCCAGTGATCTGTTTCAACATATAGCACGATGTTTATGTTTGGTAATCAAGATGCATATGAAGAGTATTAGTGATACACCTATTTACTGTTCTTAATTTTTTCTCTTTTTTTATTTTTTTATATTTTTTTTTTCCCTCGATGTAAAAGAAAACGTATACACATATATTTTGACGTAGTACTGACGACGGGATCTTGTGGGTGCCTATATATATCCTTTTGCCTGAGCAAGGGAGACTGTCAGATTTGGCACCTGCATCTGCAAGAAAGACCTATGTAAGGGAGATTAACATTATAACTAGTAAATCCACAATATACTCTATACTTCCGTCAATGATAGACAATAACCCAAGGTACCCAGTATCCAGATAGTGCTGATCAACAGCCTCAGGCCAGCCAATCCACCGGAAATCCGGGGCAGCCCAGAAGATCACTCCCCTTACCATACCGTACCCAAACTTACAGGAAAGGTCCGGAATGTCCGCCAGAACACTACTGAACAGGGCAGGGAACAACCTGCCTTTCCCGGTCTTTGTTACATCGCTTGTTTCGGTCCTGGTGTTTTCCCCTGTTCGCGGTATCGTTCCTGTTTTTGTGGGAAGGGATTTCTATCTTGATTTGTAGGTTTGATCATTTGGTTTGAGATTGTGTGTTGTCAGTTGATTGAAATTGCTGCTGTTGTTTTTCGTTATTCTGGTGAGTTCTTATTTCATTTTATTATTTCATAATTAATTCTATTTCATACCCTATGTAACTGTTCTGTGTGTGCTTGATCGACACTTTTTCTTTAATTTTTTTTTTTTTTTCCCTCCTCTCCCATTCGACCGCTCCGTCTTTGTCAGCCCACTTTTTCAGGTTCTCCGACGGAAGCAAATGCGCTTGACTTGAAGTGCTGCTTGTTCCTCCAGATTCGCAAAAGCTGACGGTCCCCTCCAAAGATATCCTGCCCTATTCGACAAGGAGAGATTTCGATCGTTGTGTGTGTTGTTGGTTTTAGGAAGGGTGAGTCTCGCCCTCTTTTGGAATATTCTCCGCGATCTGCCTTTGATGAGCTTTTTTTTTGGGGCGGGGGGCACAGCTGCAAAAGCTTCTTCGTCATCTTTGACGTTGACGCTCCCGCTGGGCCCGTATATGTTTCTCTCCGGCCACTTTGGTTTGGACTGGGGAAATGGTCCTTCGGTGGAATTGCCTGTCGCCTTTTTATCCAAATCGTCCTGGGTAGCGTGTGAGAAATAATGCGACTTTGGAGTGCCCCGCGCTATCCATTCAAGGTGTCCCATGCGAATGCAAGAGAGACAAAAAGAAGAAAAAGAAAAGAAAAAGCTTCAGACTACAATCAAACAATGGCTCGATTGGAAACGCTGACAAGCTCCCCCGTTCTTAGTTTGATCTACCGACAAAATGTTGCTTTCTCGTCGCGCGTGCTACAAGTGTGGCAATATCGGCCACTATGCGGGTTAGTCGAGATGGTTTATAATACAGGATGGATGGTGAACTGACGGAGGGTATAGAGGTCTGCTCTTCGACTGAGCGTCTCTGCTACAACTGTGAGTGTCTTCTACCTTCGTGCGGACTCTCATCCAAGATTCTTGCTAATACAATGAACAGGCAAGCAGCCTGGTAGGTACCTGCGTGTGTGACATACCCCGGACAACAGATCTAATCGGTCGACTAGGACACGAGTCCAGCAGCTGCCCGCTCCCTCGTACCACCGAGAGTAAGAGCTCCCCGAATTCAAACGATCAACAAGAACAATTGAACGTTAACTCGACTCCAGCCAAGCAATGCTATAACTGCCAGGGTCTGGGCCACGTTCAGGCGGATTGTCCCACCCTCCGTCTGAACGGTGCCAACGGCCGCTGCTACAACTGCAGCCAGCCCGGTCATCTTGCTGTACGTTTGATTTTCCCTCGGGAATACTATCATACTACCTAGGGTGGATTCACTGACTTTCCCCAGCGCAACTGCCCTGCCCCCGCTACGGGTGCTCCCCGTGGAATCGGCGCTCCCCGCGGTGGCCCCGCCGGTGGTTTCCGTGGTGGTTTTGGCGGTTACCCTCGCGCTGCGACCTGCTACAAGTGTGGTGGCCCCAACCACTTTGCCCGGGATTGCCAAGCTCAGGCCATGAAGTGCTATGCTTGCGGCAAGCTTGTGGGTGCCCTTCCATTGAAAACATGACAACAAAAGTACAGCCACTCATAACTTTATAGGGCCACATCTCCCGTGACTGCACCGCTCCCAACGGTGGTCCCCTCAGCTCCGCCGGCAAGGTCTGCTACAAGTGCGCCCAGGCTGGCCACATCTCTCGGGACTGCCCCAACAACGAGGCCGCTCCCCAGCAACCCACCGAGGCTGGTGCCGCCCCCGCCGTTCCTGTTGCTGCCGTTGCCGTCGAGGCGACTACCGAAGTCCCCGTTGCTGCCGCGGCTCCCACTCCCACTGTCGCATAAAAAAAGCACGTTATGATTATCCGATCAACCGGTCCCCTCTTCACGGGAGCCTGTTTCCCTTCTACCTAATCTCCTGCCATCTTGCTTTGGATTGAAGGTCCCCGATCCCGGTTTTGATCTTCTTCTCTCATGTTTCTTCCTTTGCATATATTACGCCCCCCCCCCCTTTCATTATTTATTTTTCAACTTTTCCTTCTCTCCTTATGTATACGACGAACAAAAAGTTTCACGAACTCCTAGGCCCTCCTCCCCCCTTCAGGCTTGGATCCTATACATGGCTCAGGTTCTTACGATTGGCGTCTTAATTGTTCTCCTCGGGTATCTTCTCATTCGGATAATAGGTACGACAAGAAAAGAGGGAGAGACGAGGGGATGGATGGCGAAGGGTGAATTGAGCGATGGACAAGAAGTTCACTGGTGGACCGACGAGCGTGCGTGTGATTAAGTGTTGATGGGATAAGGTTACAGATGGGGGATCGTTTGTGCTGAAGAATGTGTGTTGATGGAGGGAAAGGGTAACTGGCGTGTGGTCACCTCTTCATCTTTTCGTCCTATAATTTATTTTCCATATTCGAATGGGAAGCAAACAAAAGTAAAGAAGAAAAAAACATGATTGATTCTTTTTCCTCTTGTTGGATTAGGAAAGTCTTTGCTTATATTTTTGTCTGCTTGGATGGGGGTCTTTCTGGTGTAATGGTTGTATATGGTAAGAATGGCAGAGAACAACTTATGCTACTCCGTGTTATCAGACATGGCAGACCCCGTGACACCTCCAACTCTCCATCTAGCTCTACTTCATCTTCTCTCCACTATAGCTATATTGTTTCCTCAAGTCATTTACCCATACCTCAAGGCATCCGTCAATCAATTCTGTTCTTCAAGATCTGCCCACCCCTATATACCCTCTAAAGTGCGCAACGACACCATGCCCGGTTCCGACATAAGTGACGACTACGACGTCGATGTACATTTCCCTCCCAGTAGACAACTTTGGAACTGATTAACGTGTATTATGTGTATAGTCCTTCATCGTCGAGATCGACTCGATCCAAGCCCACGGTGCGCATCTCTCGAAACTTACAGACACATACTAAGTGAAGCGTAGGTATCGGCGCAGCAGATATCACGAAATTGAAAGCGAATGGATACTATACCATTGCGGTTGGCACTTCCCGAGTCTTACTCTCCATCTACTACAGCTAATTGGACAGTCCGTCCACGGTGCCACCCGCAAGAACCTCCTGAAGATCAAAGGGTTCAGCGAGATCAAGGTGGAGAAGATCAAAGATGCTATCACCAAGTGCCTGGTTTGTTACTACCATGTTCAGTCTTGCTAGACCTAACCATTTAGTACAGCCCTCAGTATCTGGGTTCATCACCGCCATGGAACTGTGCCAACAGCGCAGGAAGGTCGTGCGAATCTCAACCGGAAGCAAGCAGTTTGACTCCATCCTAGGAGGGTTCGTCCCCCACTATGCCCATCCGAAACTCCGCCCTAACAAATCTATGATATTTAGAGGCTTCCAAAGCATGAGCATCAGCGAAGTCTTCGGCGAATTCCGCTGCGGCAAAACCCAGCTCTCACACACAATGTCCGTCGTCGCCCAACTCCCCAAAGACATGGGCGGCGCAGACGGCAAAGTAGCCTACATCGACACAGAAGGTACCTTCCGACCCGAGCGCATCGCCCAGATCGCAGAGCGCTTCGGCGTCGATCCTGCCTCGGCGCAGGAGAACATTGCGTACGCGCGCGCCCTGAACAGCGAGCATCAGATGGAGCTGCTGAGTACGCTTAGCAAGGAGTTCGCGGGTGGAGAGTATAGGCTGTTGATCATTGATAGTATTATGAATTGTTTTAGGGTGGATTATTGTGGACGGGGGGAATTGGCGGATCGGCAGCAGAAGTTGAATCAGTTTTTGATGAAGCTTGCTCATATGGCTGAAGGTGTGTCTTCTTCTCGTCTCACAGGTTGTATTATCTAACCTCGCTGGGTCCAGAGTTCAACGTCTGCGTTTTGATGGTAAGTATAGTGCCGCCGCCGCCGCCTCCTCCTCAGCTTACAACACTCATGTCCTGTAGACAAACCAAGTCCAGAGCGATCCCGGCGCCAGTGCGCTTTTCGCCGGAGCAGACGGCCGCAAGCCTGTCGGTGGACATGTCTTGGCACATGCGTCTACCACGCGTGTTCTGCTCCGCAAGGGTCGTGGGGAGGAGCGGGTAGCGAAGATACAGGATTCGCCTGGTAGGTTTGACTTAGACACCTATCTTGGGTAAAGCAACGCTGAATCCTGCAGACTGTCCCGAGAGAGAAGCGACATATGTGATCACCAACGGTGGGATCAACGATCCTGATAAGGCTTGATACATGATCAAGTAGGTTCGACATACTGGGTGTTAGGGTTTGACATGATCTGAGCGGTTTTTCCGAATTTCTTTAAATGGGATGATTTGATTATGTTATGCGACATGAGTGAATGACTGATTGACTGTCACGGCCATGATAAAGCCGGCTATGTATGAGTTTATGAAATGAAGTATGAAGCATAGTATGCGAAAACAACGCCAAGAAATAAATAAGATAATCCCTCTCCGCCTTCCGAAAAATCTGATCAAAAAAACATTCTGCCGCATCACCAACAACCAACTTCCATACAACATTCCCCAATTCTTCAAAGACCTTTACAACATCCACCCCCTCGCAAAAAACCACCCAAAATGAAAAAAACCCCCTCCGAAATAGCAGGCTACACAGTCCTCCCCCTCACCCTCCCCGCAACCCCATCCTACCCGAAGCCGGCAACGCACCACCTCTACATCCGCGCCCATGAACCGCGCATCCCCGACGACGACACCCCCCGCTCTCTCTTCCTCGTCAACATCCCCATCGACACGACAGAGCTGCACCTGCGCCACCTCTTCGGCACCCAGCTAGCCGCAGGCCGCGTCGAAAAAGTGCACTTCGAGGATGTGCCGGCAAAGGCGAAAGGAAGCGGCGCGCAGGCGAAGCAAATGTCCATGAAGAAGCGCAAGCGCGTGACGGCCGACGAGCTGCAGGGTCAGCTGGAGGGGATTGAACTGCCCGCTACGTGGGACAGGGCGCTGCATAAGAGCGGGGCGCATGCGATTGTGGTCTTTGTGGATCGGCCTGCGCGCGAGGCGAGCCTGAAGGCTGTGAAGAAGGCTGCGGGCCGGAAGCAGGGGAAGGAGGGGATCGTGTGGGGGGAGGGTGTTGAGGGGAGGCTTCCTGCGCTAGGGATGGAGCGGTATCTGAAGCATGAGCGGGCTGTTTTCCCCGCGCGGGCGGAGATCCTCCGCGCTGTGAGCGACTACATGACTGTGTTTGAGCAGGTGTCTGAGGCGCGCAAGAGGGAGGTTGCGCGTCGGGCGCAGGAGCCGGACGAGGATGGGTTTGTCACTGTTACTAGTGGGCCGAAGCTTACGGAGACGGCGCATGAGGAGGAGGCGAGGGAGCTGGTTGAGAGGCAGAGGAAGAAGCAGGAGGGCTTGGAGGACTTCTATCGCTTCCAGAGTCGCGAGAAGAGGAAGATGAGGCAGAATGAGATGCTGAGGCGGTTTGGGGAGGATAAGAAGAGGTTGGAGGATATGAAGAGGCGGAAGGGCAAGATTAGGGTATGTTTTCTTCTCCTCTCTTCTTTGACTAAGTGGTTCTTGGGGATATGGGATACTAACGGTGTATAGCCCGAGTAATGTGGATGTGCGTGTCTACTGCACTTGTCCGATGTCGATTTTAGCAAGGCGTTTTGGGTGGTCAAAAGTCAAAAGTCAAGTTCTTGTCGTCGGGTGGGGGATTCAATGCTGATGTGAGTGTCTAACCCTACTTCTACTTCCCTTTTCTTTTATCATGATGAGCCCGCTGGGGCCAGAGTAGCAAGACTCTTGTCTTCTTGATGTCATGCCTTGTCTACAAAAACCAGCGTTAAATATCTTCTCACTCTCTGAAGTTGATCTTTATATCATGGTGGTGTATGTGCCTGTGAAAATGCTGTTGCTAATTGTATATTAGGTATATTGTATAGATAGATATAGATAACAAACTATTTGTGAACTTGTGATGGCCTTATTATCTACCGTCTGCCACCGGCTGTTCTACGGGAATATGACTTCCACTTGTGGTAACTAGCATTGTCCTTCTGCTCGCTCGATCTACAAGAACCCAGCACCTCTCCCCCAAAACCAGATCAAGGGAGCAACCATTGAGTAAATGAGCGAGCAAAACACTACTCTTCCCTCAAAGCAAGCCCACAAAGCACCCACCCCGCAGCAGCAGCAACCCCCGCCGCCCCAAGCGAATACATCCCCGCCCAGACGTAGAAAACAACATTCGGCCCCAACCCCGGCAGATACACAATCGTCGCACACACCACAGGCACAGGCAGGCACGCGAAACAGATATACCGGGCCACGCGGTGCGTCTTGCCGGGATCGGCTGCGAGCCGGAGGGGGGAGAGCGCATGCGGCTGTCGATCGTCATCGAGGTAGAAGACGATGCCGCATAGCGGGATGGAGATGAAGAGGAGGGCGCCGCCGGCTATGACGACCAGTATATATATGATGTTGGATTCGTTGAGTTCTTTTTGGGGCGCGCTGATGAGGATTATTGGGGCTGTGCCGATTGCGTAGGATGTCATGTAGTAGAGGTTGTCTAGGTACCAGGGTTCGAGGCGGAAGTTCTGCTCGCTGAGGGTGATTATTCGGGTGCAGAGTGTGATGTCGGGCTGGGGTGGTGAAGGAGATGGGGATTCAGCGTGGGAGGAGGTCGCGCTGCTGCTGGGGGTTGTGGTCGTGAGGTGGTGTTGTGGCAGGGATGGGCAGCCAGGTGGCGTCTGGTTGTCCGATATAGACTCGGACTCGGAGTCGGCCTGAGTGGCTACTGCTGCTGCTGTCTGCTTCTTCTTGCTGCCCTGGCGGGCCATTTCTGTAGCTGTTGGCCGAATTCGTTGGATACATACATGGAGGGAGCAGGCCTACCTGAGCAGCTCTCGGCGATCAGAAGGATCGGGAGAAGGAGCAGCAACACCGGCACTAGTTGACCGAAGCCCCAAAAGTCTTCCTCGACGACGTTGCTGTCCGGCGGCACAAACGAACGGATAGTGAACAGTCGAATCGTGCCCCAGATCAAAGCAAACATCAACCAGAGTACCTCGAAGGTTGCAGAGCGCAGGAAATCGACCACGGCTTGTGCGGTAGCCATTGCCGCCAAGGAAAGAACAACCGGGAGCACGAGGACGGCTCGCATGCGTCGGGGGGACTTTTGAAGGCCTCCACAGCACCCGGCAATGGTCTTTCGCCATAACGCGCCGACAGCCTTCAGAGTGGCTACCGCAACGGCATTGGTGGCCGGAAGCATCCGTAGGAGACGGACAAAAAGTCCTCCTAGAAGGATGATCTCCGAGACGACTATATACACTGCACTTCCTGGGCTGCCGTCAAATCCGAAATTCACCTCATCCAAGAAGCACGTTGCGGGGGCGGCCAGCTTGCTCGTCGGCACGTGGACAAATTCGAAAGTATATCGGTAAACCATCAACTTTTTAGATCCGCCTCTTCCACTAGACAGGAGCGCGATGGCAAGCATGATAGTGAGCGCGGTCATCAAGAAGACTCGAATGTAGAGGAGATACTTGTGGCGCCGGAGATATTGTTGGAGGAATGGTAGGGTCGCTAGATGGGTGACGCTCGCGAACCAGGTGGTGGCCGTGATGATGTGCCAGTGGTAGAGGGACAAACCACAGGGCAGTTGGGAATAGCCACTGACGAAGTTGGCGAGTCCGGTCACGAGCTGCTGATCACTCATTGCCATCACGACCTTGATCCGACCTGTTAGTTCCCTGCCTCCCCCGGTTGCTGCAGGTAGATATTGGGACTCACAGTCCTCAGTGGTTTCACCCATTGCGGCGATGGTAAGGTCCTTTTCAGCATTTTCTGCAGAAACCGCCGCAATGGATCATCCAACGCATTCCCCATCGGGAGCGTTTCCGAAGAACCAGTGGTTGGTTCGGTTGGCGCGACAACATAGTTGAATATCAGAGCCACGAGGGTGGCCCAGGCCGTGGCGAGAAAGCCCGTGATGATCTTTCCAAGCGTCAGTCTAATCGTGTTCCATGCAAAGTAACACCATGCCTACTTACCCCAATCCCAGAGACATCCGGATTAGGCTCCAGTGTTCCGTGAGCTTCACTGGAGCAATTGACTGGACGACAGGACATACCTGTTTGGGAGTAACCGGTACTACCGGACGTGGGAATTGAAAATTGATGTCATCCTACGGCTGAGGTCAACGTGGGGTGTGATGCTATTTATGGATCATGACCAGTGCTCGCAAGGCTGACACTCGCCCGCCCCATGCTGTCCAAACCAGGCATACATGGCCGTTGATCAAGAGTGATCCAAGAGCGAGCTAGGCTGTAGTTAATAGAAAGTCTCTTGATGGAAGTGAGTAAGGTATATATTCTCACCGGTGCAGTTCCTCTTCCTGGTCTTCGTCTCTAGTATAGTACGGTGGTAGTAGTAGACGTCTGATTCCTGTCCTAATTACCCTGTGTGTACCACAGAGAGAATGCACATAGCTTGCACGAGTATGACCTTTTTCAAAAAGACATACAAGCTGTTCGCTTTCTATATCACTGCCAATCTGTATGTTGCATTATAGTATAGTACCTGAGTTCTATAGTTCCGACTGGATGGTGGTCTGGATCCGATAACGCACGGGCCACAGGCTTGGCATGACATCTTGAATCCCAGCTCGGAGCTCACCATCTCCCATCGAACCAAGTTGTATTCTTCCTTTTGACCTTTTGAGAAGTGGCTGTCTCCGCAAATAAAGCACGAGGATTGAACTGAACTGTACTTTCGGATAAAATATCTTATTATCTCAAGTCAGGTCCGTCCATATGTCGCGTCAACCGACCATATATACTTACAGCTTGCTAGAGCTCTAATCGCGTAATTTGATTTGCAATCCTCGTTGCGACGAGCCCCGCTCTTCATTTCTATCGATTGATTCACTTGTACTTGATATGGCCTCAGCAGAAACTCCCGGCGGGGGGTTTATCCAGAACCCCCTCCTCTCCCCCGCGCCGTCAACATCAACGGCAACACCATCCAGTCTGCCCAAACCAAGAGCGCACCCGCTTCGCGCAGGCTCCTTGAAAGAAACGACTGTGATCAACCACGTTGACAAGGTCCTCCTGAGCGTCAACCGACGACACGCTAAAAAGTTCAGCTCCGCGTTTGACGACCAAAGCCAGCAGGCGTCAGAGCGCGGGTACGATAGCTTCAAGGAAGTAGCTAAGGATCTTGATGGAGTGATTGATGTGCTTTGGGTTAGTGGGACTCGTATGTCATCTTCCTCCTCTTTCCTTCTATTCATGGGTGGTATATATGATATACTATTCAATCACACACGGTGTCAAGAAAGCGACTGACGCTTGTTTTTCTTTTTTTCCCGTTTACTTATTGGTCCAGCTTCAATACAAATCCCATACCTGATCACCGTGGCCGGACTGATCAACTCATACCTCCCCGACTTCCCCCTCAGCCCGGGCTCAACCTTCCGCCTGCTCAGAAAACTCGACTCCGTCTTCGCATCGCTACTCCTCGGCGAAGACGCAGACACGGGCGAATCCCTTTCAGGCTTCGAAGGCCGACACAACGTCGTCTCCATGACGGAGAAAGTCCGCATCAAAAGTCTGGCTGAGACGTGTCGTGTTGCTGTCGTGGAGGCCAGCGAGCAGGTTGACGAGGAGGCAGATGAGAGCGCAGATAGCCTCGATGGGGGGGATGATGATGACGACGACGACGACGACGACGACTTTGGCACTGGGACGGGGGAGTATCAGGCTCTAGGAAGGTGGGATATGGAGGCTGCTAAGGTTTATGAGAAGACGATTCAGTTGCTGGGGGATGAGCTGGGGAAGGCGGGGGAGTTTGTGGATAATCAGATTGGGTCTGGGGAGGTTTGTTAGTTCTTCTTCTTCTCTTTTGCTGTTTTCTGTCTGTGGGCGTGTCCTCAAAGTTGTGTTCTTATTCTGTTGATACTTTTAACTAGTATGAGCCCATGTCTAGTCCATATCCATCGCTACCTACCTACTCAACGTCCTACCAAAACAGCACTATCGATCCTTATCATCTAGTCCAACAAACCATGCTACCTACCTAGGCAGCTAGAAACTTACCAACAGCCAACCTTTCCAGAAGAATACATAGATAAACCACCAGATCAACCTAAGGTTACCAGTTACCACATCAACTAAGCCACCCTCCCCACCGTGCCTTGGTCTGCCGACAACCTCCCCCCACGAGATAGGATGGACAGATGTTCCGAACAACGCTCGTGGAGATTAAGGTTGTGTCGTGATCTCAGCGGCCCAGCGAATAAATAAATAAACATAGATGGCTCCAGGTAAGGTGGGCATTCCTGGGGTGGATGGATAGAGGGGTGCCTAGTTTGTTGATGTAAGGATTGAGTGGGATGTCTTGAATGGGCATTGCATAATGATATTACTCTTGCATAATAATAATGATGAAATGTGTAACGAAATGAATCAATCAATCCGGATAGAAGAGAATGGAATCACATCAGATAATACCGAGCTACAGCTTTTCAAGTCTCCTAGGCTGTTGGGGACGTTGAGCCCATCTGGATCCATGGTTCGGGGTTCCGGTGGCTATCCGTGCTTTACTAACTAGTTTTACCAACTCTGAAGTTTTGAGATCAGATGTGTGGTGTGTTTTCAATTTCTTCTACGAGGCATGTTATATTTTGATTTTTTTACTACAGACGTACCCAAGATATCTACTCTACTATCTAGAGGTCATGAATGAAATCAGGCAGTGAGATAAGAGGATCTATATCTGCAAGGGACTGGCGGACATCCAGTTATACGCTGGATATTATATTATCCATGCATGCGCTTAAGCCCGCGCAAGGATTTATGCTCCGTATGTTAATACAAAGTATGTAATATATGTAATGAAGGCTTTCCATGGTGCGGGATATACGGGTAGTACGTGGTATTAGTATGTATGTGTATGTAATGTGTATAAGCAAGGGCGATGTAGGGGCCGTCATCTCCCGCGTGCTTGAGATGAAGATTGACGGGATAGGACGTGGAGAGATTAGTATGAAGGGAACTGTAGAATAAGATAAGAGTCAAATCCATCCCTTGTTCATACCAGCTCCTCCCCTGCTGTTGAGTCTTTTCCTCTTTCTTACAGATCACGACCTCGTGTCTGGATATGTATTTTACGTCATCCACTGTATCAAGCGGGTATTGACCCAAGTTGGTTATATGAAGACACGAAACCCTAGTCAGCCGATCGCGTCGCGGACGCGTACAACGAACCGGGATTGAACGGAGTAGAAATGGCACTAGCGGGCCGGATTTAAGGTACGCTCAGCTGTTCTGTACCTGTTACTTTCTGTAACAGATTACTAGCATCAGTCCAATGGGAGAACTAGAGTAGAGGTTCCCATGGTTCTGGTTATCGAGTGGGGATGTGGCTGTGGCTACTGGCTACATCTCGGAGCTGAGTTCTTTCTTGCTGGTTTTCAGAGCTGAGTGTTGTTGGTTGGGTTGGCACTTGGGCTGAGTCGAGTCTATATTACTCAGGTCTGAGTGAGCTGCTCCCCAGCCACTTGTAGAAGAGAGAGTGCTTTGACCTCGCCTGTTTGCTACTATTAGATATCATCGCCCCGGTGCACTGACGATATTTATCAATTATTGAATCATCAGCATGTCCGGCCAAGGCTGTGGATATACACGTTTACCGTATGGTACCTCCTGTCTCTTTCTCCATCCACGGTTGTACCTTTTACATGATGTTGGTTATCGCAAACCCAAGGTTGACTTCTGGGGCACATCGGCGGGGCTTGTCCTTTCGGGTTTCGACGTTTGGAACCTGTCTTTTGGTTCCTTTTCATGTTGATTCAGAAAAAAAAAAATACCCACTGTCAGAGGATGACAGTGGATAGTCTGTCTTTCAAAAAGGTCGAGTAAGCAATGTCAATCATCCAGTCGATACAGAATAAAGACGAGGCGTGGCTACCTCTGAACGGGACAAATCTACCAATAAGACATGAGAATTGGCAAAGAAAGCGAGAGGGGAGAAAAAGAAAAGCGAAAAAAAAAAAAAGAAAGAAAAAGAAAAAGAGAAAAATAAATTAAGTCTCCATCTTGTCCCCGCTTATGACGATTGGGCCCACGGACGCGAACTGGAAATCGACGAGTCATCGCCCGGGCTCGGACTGGAGTCGAGGGCTGAACCTGAAGGTCTCTTGGTTTCTGTACTCTGGAGATGTAAGTTGTGAATGTAAATGTAAATGTAAAACAAGGTAAATATATTATAGTTTATTATAAAACATCATATAATAGTAAAACATCAAGACCGTCCAGGGTTGGTCTGCAGGTGCAACATTCAGCTATCCTTGCAGATTGGTGCGTGTTAGTATTATGCCGGTTTGGCCAACAGCCTCCCTTGTCTGATGCCTTGCCTGGATCATCACCAGATGATCCATATGTACTGTCCATGCCATGCTGTTCTCCCTGCGTCAATTGAGGGGATTCAGAGTATCAGTTGGGGTAGTCCTTATGCCGGTCCCCACGTTGGGTTCATAATAGTATGTCTAGAGATTCTGCTTGGTTGTATATATTTATATATACCGATCATAAAGCTACATCCTTCCCAGTAAAGCCAGACAGCTCCAGAATCAGGTGCATGCAGAGGAAATAAGAATCATGTCAGTTGCAAACCCGCAGGATGCAGTGGTCATCTGTTCCAGGGTTCAATTGGTTTGGTATGTATCCGTACGGGTAATCTTACTTCATCCTACTAACCACCCAGATATCCAGATATCCAGATATATATCTATCCGGGTAGATAGTATGTCGAGGAAGACAGTAACTTGATATCGAGGATCAGGACATCTATCGTCACCATGAGATGATGATAGATATCCATTGACCCACTGTTTATTACCGTATTGAATACTAGTGGTTTTGAAGAACAATACCGTATTGCATTGATCCAGATCACACCATGAGCCATACAAAAAGCCATACAATAAACCATATAATCAGCCATCAGTATATGCATTCCATACCCTTTCCATGTATTTTACATCCAAGAACTCCCGGTAATACCGACGACATTATCAACACCAGATCTACAAGTCTTCTTCTGGTTCACTAAACTGGGCCGAAAAGGTTTTTCTTTCCTTTCAACCAAAGACAAGAAGAATGGAACAGAACAAGGAAGAAAAATAGTAAAATACTAATATAATAATAATCAAAATACAAATGACAAAGGAAAAAAAAGGCTCTTTCGTCCCACCCATTGTGGCAGTAGTAGCAAAAGCCTGAGGCTGCTTCGCCCCTCCTCACCCACAGCGTGCTTGATGGTTGGTTCAATCAGTCCTGCACGTCGTTGGGTCATTATTCTAATCATTCTTTAGTCTGGATTGTGTGGGTTGGATTATTATCATTACCTTATTATTATTATGGTTTTTATTTTTTACCTTTTTTATTCTATTTTTTATCATGTTATTTTTTATTTTTTTTATTTCCTGGTCCCTTACTAGAATTTTGTTCGTTCGTCTAATGATCGATTCTCCTCCCGCTCTGGTCTGCCCTAGTTAGCAATCCATTCTCTCTCTCTTCCTCTCTCTTCCTCTCTTCCTCTCTTCTCTCCCCCTCTTCCATCTGAAGAATATTCGCCTCTTCCTCTACCCCTCTTCCTTTTCTTTTTCCTTTTCCTTTCTTTCCCTTTGACCTCATCTCTTCCCCTCCTTGTACCATTCCTTGTTCGTATCGGAAAAGACGGAGTCGGTTTTTGCGGATAGTTACTCTTGTATCTTTTCTGCCTTTTTTCTCGCCTTTTTTTCTTCCTTAGTCTTGGACGCTACTTTCCGGCAGTTCTTCTCGATTTCCAATCCGGTTCTTGGTCGCGTTGTCGCCTCACGTCCTCGTCTTCACGCATCCTTGATTTGCGCCACGCCAAAGCAACGTATCTCCTTGACGTCTTTTTTCTTCAGCGAAAGCTAGTTTCAAGGCCGCTTTTGTTTTATATTGCTGGTAAGTTATTTCTTTCGCTGGGTTCTAGAGCCGAGACCGCTTCATTCTTTGTACGAGAAGAAAAAGGTAAAGAAAAAGAAAGAAAAGAAAAAGAAAAAAGAAGAAGAAGAAGAAGAAGAAGAAGAAGAAGAAGAAGAAGAAGGAAGCCGCGTTTTCATTTCTATCCCTGGATCATTGCCTGTTCAATCCCTGGAGCACACGACGGGTTCCCTTGTGTGATGCGATGCCTTGAATGTCGGTATCTGCGATGCGCCAACCCGAAAAACTCGATCGCTGCACCATCTCTTCGCAAGCGGGAACCGGGATAATCGCCTGCCCCCAAGGACAGAACCACGATCAATTTGCGTCCCAATTCAGCTACCCAGTATCCTACCGTGTCGTCGCATGACTGGGTCAAATTGGGGTTTGGCCGGAAGAGTCAACTGAGACGGTCGCAGCGCTCGTGCCGAGGCCGAATGCGGCCATTGTGCGGCTCCGTGCACTGCCCTCTGAATTCATCACCCCGTCAGGTCCGTGCTGGGTCAAAAAATTCCCCCAGTGGTTCACCTGGAACGATCGCTTCTTCGTCAACCCCTCGCAATCGGACGCCGTTGTCTTCAGTTTTCCTTGGATCTTTCATCGCGGTCGGATCACTTCTCATCGTCTGGCTTATCCCATTTCGATCCTGTGGAATCGCTGCATCGCGCGGATTATTGGGGCAAAAACGTGGTTCTCGGATTGACGGATTTTCTTCGCCTTCGCCTTTCTTCTTCGATCTTTCTTTCCTTTGGTCGATCTTCTCTGTTGCGATCGTCTCGGCTCATTGATTGCCATCTTCCATACTAATCCTTCCCTGCTCTTAGGAATTGAATACCCTTTCGATCATTTCCAAGTATCAACGACCGTACGCTTCTTTGCTTGACGACTCCAACGAATTTCAAGTCATCCTGGCCGTTACGGAATAGAAAAGTTTGTCTTGTTCGGGTTTTGCTCTTTGAAAAGGTACGCGCCAATGACGAGTTGGGGTGGCTGGACGGCCTTTGCTGGGGACAGTCAAGACGCGATCCTGAGCCCACACTAATATCTATACAGATATCGTTCGCGCTCCTGTTGTCTTCACGAAATTTCGGCTTCAATCTCCGCCAATATGTCTTTCCAGAACTTCGATTCGTTCCAAAACCAGCACCCCGCTGCTGACGCCGCCGCCGCCGCGTCTGGCGCTCCCGCGACCGCGGATACCGCCATGACCGGCCAGGCCGACCCCGCTACCGCGTCTTTCCAGGGTCCTGCTCCCGGCGAGCCCAACGCCGCTGCTTCTCAGCAGCCCGCCGAGGGCAAGACCACTCTCTGGTACGCATCCACACCACCCAGATCTCATTCGATTTCTAACCTTGACCGACAGGATGGGTGAGCTTGAGCCTTGGATTGATGAGAACTTCGTCCGCAACCTGTGGTTCCAGATGGGTGAGCAGGTCAACGTGAAGATGATCCGTGACAAGTTCTCTGGGTGAGTAAATCACGATCCTCCCTGTGATTTAGAAGGCGATCCTAATGTTGGTAGTAGGAGCAACGCCGGCTACTGCTTCGTCGATTTCACGTCGCCCGCCGCTGCCGCCAAGGCTCTGTCTCTCAACGGCTCTCCCATGCCCAACACCAACCGTCTGTTCAAGCTGAACTGGGCTACCGGTGGCGGCCTGGCTGATCGCAGGTAAGAGCCCAACACCCGACTCTCAAAATGGGAGACGATTGGCGGATCTATGCTAACACCGGTCGTGCACAGCCGTGATGACCGTGGCCCCGAGTACTCCATCTTCGTGGGTGACCTCGGCCCCGAGGTCAACGAATACGTCCTCGTTTCTCTCTTCCAGAGCCGCTTCCCGTCCTGCAAGTCCGCCAAGATCATGACCGACCCCATCAGCGGCATGTCCCGCGGTTACGGTTTCGTGCGCTTCTCCGACGAGAACGACCAGCAGCGTGCCCTGAGCGAGATGCAGGGTGTCTACTGCGGCAACCGCCCCATGCGTATCTCCACCGCCACTCCCAAGAACAAGGGCCCTGGTGTCGTCCCCGGTGCCATGGGTATGCCCGGCCCGGCCGGCATCTACCCCCCCATGGGCGCGCCTCCCATGGGCTTCTATGGCGCTCCCCAGCCCATGAACCAGTTCACCGACCCCAACAACACCACGGTCTTCGTCGGCGGACTTTCCGGCTACGTCACCGAGGACGAGCTCCGCTCGTTTTTCCAGGGATTCGGCGAGATCACCTACGTCAAGATCCCCCCCGGAAAGGGCTGTGGCTTCGTTCAGTTCGTCCAGCGCCACGCTGCGGAGATGGCCATCAACCAGATGCAGGGCTACCCCATCGGTAACTCGCGCGTGCGCCTGAGCTGGGGTCGCTCCCAGAACAACTCCGGCCCCGCTGGCAGCCCCTACCGTCCCGCTCCTCCCCCTCCTCCCATGTACCCCTCGATGGGCATGCCCCCCGCTGCCCACCAGTATGGTGGCTTTGCGCCTATGAAGGTTAGTTCCCCCATCCTCCTCCCTTGAATCCGTTCTTGGAGACCGTTTTCCCCGTCTCTAACGACCTTTCAGTATGTTAACGAAGATTTTCAGTAAAAAAAGCGTTCCTTTTTTTGAAAGCAACCGCAGGAGTTTTTGCGTCATTACAACCAAATGATGGGTCTTTTGTGTCATAAGTTTATTTTTACTGCTGCGAAAGTTTCCCTCTATAGCCTCTTGATGGGCATTTCCTCCTGTGATACGTACTTCATTATATGTGAGCGCTGCCAATTAGCAAGATTTGAGCTCTTTTTTTCTTGTTTTCGATGAGACTGTTTTCTTCGCTTTGCCGCAACGTATTCTGTTATTCCAAATTCTTCTGTTCCTCTTCTATTTCAATTCTTACCTTTATTTTCTTTCTTTCTCTTCTTGCTTGCAATCAACCTTTGCTATCTACTTTTCCACTCTTCTATCCCCTTAAAGCATCCTCGCCCCCTCCTCGACTTCTCCTCATCCGGTCCCTAGGTCTTTTACGCATATGACACCAATTTGATCTGTTTCTGCGCGTTGCGTTGTTTTACCATATACTCCCTGGGCAGGCAATTTGCGCAAAAGTTCATCGTCTCAGGTCTTTCCACGAAGCAATTAAATTGAGTTTCACCCCAAGGATGTTCTGTCATGCTTTTCCTTTAGACCAGTGACCTGTACAACATTGTCTTTCCTATCTTTTGCCTTTGCTTTGACATCGCAGAATCAATTCATCTATGGAACATGACGCTTTCTCTCGTTTTTTTACTATCTTCTGTTGCCTTCGCAGGCACGCTGTCTCCCTGGGTCGGGTCAATGCTGCCCATTACCCGGTCGACCGGCTGTCGACTCGGGTTCCTGCGCATGCAAGGTTATGGATTGCTACCCCTGACTGTAGCCAGTGGATTGGGGACAGGGTAGAAGGATTTGTTGCGTTGCGTGCAGCGTTGGAGAAATCCCTCCGTGGCAGTTAGTTATGGGCGGCGTCTGTGATGGCAAGTCTTTCGTAAGGTTCCCCGTTCTTTTGTTCTGGAGAATGTTTTTCTTTCAGATGCATCTGGGTTCTTCCAGTTTCACTTGGCGCATATTCTCGTGGATGATTCCCCCTTTCGCTATGTCGTGGGCTTCGTTGTGCTCCGTCTGTACTGTGGTTTAGTCTGATATGTGATTTCAAATCGAAAGGGCAATGACAGTGTCGCATCTTTTTACCCTTGCCAAGGTGTGTGGAGTTGGTGTTTGTCTATAGAGAACATGAAAAATAGAAAAACAAGTGGTATGTCTATACTCCAATATGACTATGATTGCATGCAGGATCCGGCCGAGTCACGCCTGCCTCAGGTTCAAGTCTTCTTTCTCTTCCTTTCCTCCCCCTCTTTCTTCCAACTTGTTCTTTTCTCTATATCAGTATTGCAACAACCGACGAGGCAGGAGCGTCCGCATCTCCAATGCAACCTATCCAGGTAGCACCAGACCTGTCCTCCTGCATGGTTCCCTATCCTGTCATTCATCCCATAGTATCATCCATCATCCCACTTTCGCTACTCCTGCAGGTCTCCTCTGTCTTCGGTTGACTTCCTTACTCCAGTGCCTTTTTACGTATTTGTGAAATGCGATTTCATTACGCTTGATATACTCTAATTCCAGATCCTCCATTGTCTCATTTATCTCTCTCCGAATCACTCATACAGCTGCCAAGATGCGTTACGAGAACTGGGATGTGCTCTTGTTCCCTGATACCTCGAAGATACCGATTCAGGAGTTTAAGACGCAGTGCTTTGTGACTAAAGATCGTGGTACGCTAAGATTCAGTCTATAAGCGTGTCAAGGCAGAGACTGAACGTCAGTCACAGATTCTCCTTATCTACACAACCCGTCCCTCGATATCCTCTCATACTTGCCATCACAAAGCACCGTAGGGCTGCTACCGGTTCTCACGACGTTCATTCCCAGCTTGCAACAGAATTCCCCCTTCCGCGTGTCCATCCATAGCTGGGACAAGCCCCGGGCTAGCCGGTTGATGGAAACCATGTTGCAGCCGGATGACTCCCTACTCTTTGAGATTCGGATCTTCATTGATGGGCTATGTGTTTCGTAAGTTTTTTTTTCGTCTCTGGACAGGGTCACTTGCCGTCTGCTAAAATGGGGTCTCTTCGTGTTCAGGGGCAGCGTCTTCAGCCAAAGAACAAGTTGGCCTCATGTTATCGGTGAGAATGGAAATCCATGGCTGCAATTCTGTGTTTATATGGATGGCTGACCCTTGGAACCCTCGGCCAGACCTAAGCTCCTGTACGTTTCCGCAACCCTTTTTTCCGCTCTGGGCAGTGCTAATACCTGACTAGATATCGATAAAAGTGGCAATCAGGATTATCTTCGCTTCCCGCCTTTCCATTCGGATATCTTAGAGCAGCGGCATTGGGACGCTGGGGATCTTCATGGTAGGGTCAGAATAGTGATCTCCGAAGGCTTCTCTCGGCCCCATCGTTCGCCGCCGTTTGAACGAGTCAAGGATCTTATAGTGTTTGCATTCCAGCATGCTCCTTTGCGTAAGTGGTCCCTTTCCTCTGGATTTTGTCTCTGGCCCGTCTAATGACAGACAGATGTGTTGGAGTATTCTAGTATTGCCTGGCCCAACGCTTCCATGTGGAGTCGGGAAGCTCGTCTCTTCAAATACAACACAGGAAGTGGTTTGGTTGATAAGAAAGAACTAGATGATTCTCACGCCCACTCCCCAACTAGACATGGTCTTCGACAGGTGGCCCTTGCAAACAGTCAAGCCAGCAGCTCGGCTGTCCGGAATACTTGGCCGTATCGAGACTACTACTATTCGAGCCTTGGTCCGGCTCCTCAATGGCAAGGTAACCAGGCGGAACCTAGGATAGCGCCACCAGAATCATTCATGCCCGATCCCTTCATTGATCCATACATGCTGGATCCGTCCGCTCGTCATCGGGGGGCAAGGCCATCGTGGGAGGATGTCTCTATGCCAGATTACGCTCCCAGCTCTGGCAGCAGCCGAGCGTTGTCCAGCATGACTGGAGTAAGCTATGAGCATAGTAAAAACCCCAGTCTTGTCACGCCGATTGATGAGGAGTCGTACACTCAGTTTGTCGAGGCTCTGAGCCCTCCGAAGCCGCTGGCCAGTGGAACTCATGCGCCGGCCAACACGCCATCCGGCGCGTCGTTGCCCATGGGAACCAAGCTATCCGCCGCAGCAGAAGCACGCTCGGCATCCTACGCTAAGCCTAGCAAAGGTACCTCTGTTCTGAAAAACATTTCGAATCCCCCGAGCCGAGAGGTGTCCGAATCTAGCGTCAAGTCCACCCTGCCGCCTGAACTGATGGCAGAAATCCCAGCAACCGGTAAGCCTCGCGCCAGTCCCAGTGCGCAGGTCAAGGGTAGAAAGGAGAGACTGCCACAAGATAAGGAAAACGAAACTGCCGAAGCTGCCCGACGAGATATTGATAGACTCACCCCTACCCCAACTAAAGCGACGCCCGCGCGTACCAGCACAAATCTGGAGGCACCCGTTGACCCCAGGGTGAAACGGTCCGCGGGCTCTCGCCGTGGGAGCACTAGTATTCCCAAGGGGGAGCCTGTTTTACTTTCACCTGTCCTGGATTTGACCAACATTGGAGATGTTGCTCAACCAGCCATCGACAATGTCGTGAGTTCGACGACTGAAGCTGCGGAGATTGAATGACTGCCAATTTGGCAGTTTCCCTTGTCCCATTCTCAACTTATCTCTTACAAGCTATGGCAACCTTTCTCGGAGAGAGCTCGGCATTTCTATATCATTCCCTGTTCATGTTACGAGGTGTCAAGCCTATGACTCGTTTTGCCCTATATAATACTTGTATTGTTTGACACGACACTCTTTGTGCGGATGAGGTATATCTCTGGCGTTCATTACTATAAGGAAAGAAAAGAAGGAAAAAAGGTAAAAAGGATAAGATATAAAAAAAGAAGGCATCAGGGAGTATGG